TAAAGGCTTCACAAAGTGACACACAAGTGATGTTTGGTTTTTTTTCCAGAGAACTGCAAGCTCCTTGAAGATATCTTCTGCAGAAGAAAATAAAGATGTTATAATATCAGAAGGAAAAGACCTGAATTATACAAATACCTTAAAATGCTGTGGAAGAAAAAATGCTGAGGAAGAAAAGCATGAAAATATTTAATACATTAAATAATTTTGATTTGCTTGGACCCAAACACCACCCGACCCCCTGCCGGAAAGTTGGGTGCCACCACTGATCCCTCCTACCCACGGCAGCGCTACCGCGATAGGGCTTCACAGCTTGACACTACGTGATGTCCAGGACTTCCCCAAGCACAAGTCGAACTACTGCCTCCCCCCCTCCGGCAGCGCTACCTTCAGGAAGGATTGGTAGCCCAGTTAGTGCTGGAGAACTACAAGCGGCCTAAATTGAATAGATTTAATAGAAAAATAAACAGTACTCCCCTGAAGTTAAGAGGTCCCGTGCTACCAGCACGTATGTTGGGTGAATCCAATTCGTCTTTTTGGATCCTAAAGTAATGAACACATTAAAATACATCATACATCATTGCATAAAACAAGTTAGTGTGTCCAATGAAGTCGCCACAAGTGTCCTTGATTAGCCCGTGAAATATTGAAATAGTTGTGTCGAGTAGAATGATCGTATAGCAGATTCGACTGAAGTTAGAAGTTATAAATTAATCGCAGCGGATTACAAATTGAGCCTGCAAAGCTTTATAAATCATACCATTAGCCATAGCAGTCGAAACTAAATAACATGATTGCGGCATTGCACTTTTGATCTATTCAAGACAAATATCTTGATGTCTTTATTATGTCAGTTTAGTTTATGACATAGGTCTCATAGAATCGATATCAAAAAAGGGCTTGATCTATGCAAATTAATAAACTTCATACTTACCAACAAAAAGAAAGTATCTCAAGTTAACAAACAATTAGCTAATGTATAAACCTACTTATTTACGAACCACACACGACATTTTGACGACGTTACACCCAAGTTGACTGGACAGGTAATAAAGGCCTTCAGTCTTGTGTTATGTCTCATATATACCGTTGGCTTCAACACGGCCGTGAGCTGTATTCACAGGGGCGGAACTACTTTGTCGTTAGGCCCAACGATAGGAAGGGTGGGGTGTGTGTGTGTGCTAAAACCGCTTAAAAAAGACGCCATTAAGTGATTTTGCAAAAAGAAAAAAAAACATTTAGAAAGAGAAGTTAAAAAAAACACTACACGACCTGTTGTGTAAGGAAGGAAATAAGGAAGGTTAAACTATATCCATGTGAAGAATAATTCGTTTTTATAACACGCCTTCAAAATAGCCTATTAAAGGCCCTTAATACCCATCTAAATAGTCAGGTAGGGTGACTATAACCAGAGTTCCTGTCTGGCATCTCTACGCAGGAGGGGTGAAAATGGGAAATAGTGGGGGGTGGGGGCACATTGTCTCATGAAAACCGTCGACCTTTCTCTCTCGGCGATTTGAAAAAAAAAAAGATATAATGTATATACAAAATATATGCTTTAACAAGTTTACGACCCCCCCCCCCCTGTTTAAAACAGGCGTGGAATAGTTTTAACAAACTGAACTGCGGGCTTGATGTTGAAATAAAATACCCACGTGTTGAGAAAAAAAATAACTGAATTATATCAGGCCCTAAATGTGCTTGGTCCTTATTTTGTGTGTTTTGATACAATTTGCAAAAGATGGAGGGTATAATTACTACATTAGGAGACCGTTTTATATATGGAGGAGCTTTTTTTGTTTAGTTCCGTCACTGTTTGTTTACCTCCTGATTAAAAACAAAACTGCTAGGCCTTCTAAATTATTATTCCTCACACATGCCGCACAAGGTCAAGCGAGCTGTATTCACTTGTTTACAACTTGGTTTAAAAATCTCTATGAAGAGAACTACACACGCAACGTTCATGTTATTTTTAGAAAGTTATTCTAGATTGTTCGGTATAATAATACTGAATCTAAACTTACGATGTTTTTACACACAAAATTGTTACGAATTCGACGACTGCTACTGAATACTTCTACATACCAACCCACAACCTTCCTCCACCCCACCCTCTCTTTACATTTTGCCTATAATCTTTTAGTCACTTTATCACAACTAGATATAGAAAGTATGTCTTCTAGCTAATAGCCTGGTGTTTTTTTAGTCAAACAACCAGAAATTAAACTCAATCTTGTAGCCTATTTGATTATAAACGTAATTAAGAAAATGTTTTCACTCGTTAAGATGTGTGCACGACCCCCCACACCCCCCCCCCCACCCAGCCCTAAATACAATTCGGTTAGTCAACTCCCACTATGTGTCATTAGCTGCTTGTAACATAAGTTTATTTGATACGCTTTTTCTTATAAATATATGAACACTTGTACACACCTGCCAACAACCTTCCTACACCCTCCCTCTCTCCATACCTTTCTTATATCTAGAATCTTTTAGTCTGTGTATCACAATTAGTTAAGATATATTCAGTATTTTTTCTAGCCGTTAGTCTGTTTTTTTATTCATTGTGTGTGGGGGGAGGGGGGGGGGTCGAACTTCGTGTTACTTTCACGCCTACACATGAAGGGCCGTTCATGTGTTCTTTAAGATGCATCGTTGTCAGAGGGGTAGCGACCTTTCCCGGCGCCCGGGGACAAACTTTCAATTTAGCGCCCCCCTTCGGAGCAAATTTTTAATTTGCACCACCCCACCCCCTCAAACTATTTATAATGCAAAAATGCAGCTAAAATGACATTTTAATTAGTTTTTACAACCCATTTTGGCGCCCCTAAGGTCGGCGCCCGGGGACATATGTACCCCCTGCCCTCCCATCGCTACGCCTCTGATTTTTGTCATCGTTTTGTGCATATCGGTGCTTTATACTTTATATGGTAGTTAGTAAAGCGTTTTAAGCATTTTTTTTTTAAGTTTGAGAAGAAGCAACGGTCAAAGGGATATAACCAAAACAATATTTAACATTTTTTAGAAGTTTATGGTTAATTCCCCTAGTTTCAATAAAAATGTAACAAAAAACCTTTGCTTAGTAAATACTTACATTTAATTATTAGCAGTTTTAGTCCCATAATTTAGCTCAATGACCGTCTTATCAAGACTCTGAAACTTTGTTACTGGCGCTGACTTTTTACAAACAGAATATTTGCTAAACCTCTCGATCCCCTCTTTTTTTTTGCCAGTCCCATATTTAAGCTTCAAATTATTATTACACAATTACAAAATCATTACACAATTACATAGTCATAATAATGACTGAATAAACATTACTTAGTTACAAGTCTTTCAGGGAAATTATGTTAATTTTCGTTCACAAAATGCATAAAATATTGACGATCATCAGCTCATATTTAATTATTTGTTTGATGAGACTTGAGAGGTGAGTCACATCTCTAGCTTTTGTGGCGGATGGAATGTGCACGCATAGTTGTATGCCTAGATGTGACATTTTGTCACTGTAAAGATCTGACATATTGTCACTCTAAAGATTTGGCATATTGTCACTCTAGAGAACTACTGAATAGGTGTCCTAAAATTTTATGTCTGTGTTTGTTTGCAAAAGTCTGAAAATATAAAATGGAAGAATGTAGTAAAAAGTGCACGGTGTATCACATAATATATGAAGTGGATAATTATATGAGCATATGAAATGGAATAATATATAAGCATATGAAGTGGAAGAATATATGAGCATATGAAGTGGAAGAATATATGAGCATATGAAGTGGAGTAAGAGAGACGCGACAAAACGAAGAGTAGGTTGAACAGAAGTTCAAAGTTCAAGTGTTTTAAAAAGAAAAGTGGCTCTATAAATTTGGTTGGGTCAATTTGGTAAGGTATGTGGCTAACCAGACCCCCGACCCCATTTTAGTGGGTTGTGTGGCTAACCAGACCCCCGACCCCATTTTAGTGGGTTGTGTGGCTAACCAGACCCCCGACCCCATTTTAGTGGGTTGTGTGGCTAACCAGACCCCCGACCCCATTTTAGTGGGTTGTGTGACTAACCAGACCCCCGACCCCATTCAAGTGGGTTGTGTGGGTCTCGTGGTCTTGAGATATTTCATCCGAGAGAGAGAGAGAGAGAGAGAGAGAGAGAGAGAGAGAGAGAGAGAGAGAGAGAGAGAAGGCGAGATTTGTGTGTGTGTGCGTGTGTGCGTGCGTGAGTGCGTGTGTGTGTATAAACACGATAACTTGAGTACCATTTCAGTTAGATTGACGAAATTTCAAATGAAAGTATTACATTAATTTTGTATTTTTCTTTCAAATTTTGCGCGTTATCCGGTAAATAGTAGCAATTCTTTTTTCGGTTTCTCAAAACAAGGGTTCATTTAAGTCAGGCGGATTAAATTTTACGTATGTTACATTCTATGCGCATATTTCTTTCAACGTTTGAACAATTTCCGAAAAACGGAAGCGGTACATAACTCCCGTGTGAATACAATCAGTATTTCTTCCAGACTTTTTTCTCCGGGGGGAGGGGGGGGGGGTGGTTATCTGAATACGATAACTTGAATACTGTTTTAGTTAGGTAACATGTAAGATCTCATACTTTGGTTACTTTCAATTATTGAGTGACCTCCGATAAGGTAGTACTTTACTCTATTTTAGATCTCTAAAATACCCATATGGGGCCATAACTTGAGTATCATTTCACTTATGCAGACGGCATTTCATACAATGGTACACGATCCTATTCTTTTGATTCTGTCACATTTTGAATGAATTCCAGTGATCTGATATTTTTTATGAACTGGCCTACGTTTCGTCATCTTACCCCCCCCCCCTCTCATCCACTTTTCTTTGTTTACTAGTCCTCATCATGAATTAACTCGAAAAAATGCGCATTTATTGCTCAATTCATTCCTGACCCCACCCACCCCTTCATGATCTCACGAGAACGTGTTAATGAGTGCGACAGTCTAAAAAAAAAATGAAATATTTTGAATAACGTTGTAGTACTTTACTCTTTAAGTGGCTAGGTCCGGGGAACTAAGGGAAGTAACTGTAGCAGCAAGTTTACAAAAAATAATTTTCACACTGACTACAGCTATTGTCACCAGATTGAGGTTACTTTGATAGAGGCAGCCCTTTTACAAGTGTTAGTATGTATTAGACTAGGCCTAATTTTATCATTTTTTAAAAATTAATTACGGACGAATATTTGTTTAAAATAAACACTTCTCAAGTGGATTTTTCTTTACATTTCTAACTATGTGATTGTGTTTTCTTACTTTGAATTTTAGTTAACAAGCTATCAATATTACATTTTAATAAATAATTCCTACCACGTGGTCTGCATTAGGGTATACCGTTTTGATAATGAACCCATTCCATGCCGACCGTATAAAGATGATCCTTGGATGCAGGGCCATGGGATAGCTTTTGATCAAATAAACTTTTAATAAACCACTGCTTTATTGACGGTTATCAATGTAGACATTTTTGTTTGTTTCACATATAAAATATTTTAACTGGTACTTAGTACATTCTTTTCTCAAACAGAAAACTTGCCCACCGTTTTCCACCGACTTCATTAAGATGGTGAGTTTTATTGCATTTTTTTTGTTTTTTAAAGTTTGTTGCAATCCTTTTACAATTGATGTACTTATTTAAATGCAAATTGTTGTACACACTTAAACAGTTTTTGATTTGTAAAAGTTGGCCAGACTTGAAAAATCTACTTATGAAAAGGGCAGGCTATTTTTTAGTTCATCTCTCACTTCTCTCCCTTAGCGGGATTGTCTTTACCTTGGTCCAGAGTGACCAAAAGCTTGTTACAATTTAACTTGGTCAAGTTTGTACAAGATTTTGTTACAACTTAAATTAGTCTTGCGTGTCCAAGATTTAGTTACAACTTGACTTAAATTAGTCAAGCGTGACCAAGATTTTGACATCCGACAGTTGTTGACTTCAATAAACAGCGCCTGACACCACCCAGTTGCTGATATTCTCCTCACACCATCCAGATATTCTCATCAATTTATTTTTAGGTGAAAACATCAACAGCTTTGTTTACTGCCGTCTTTGTGGTGGTTGGTGCAGTCATCAATGTACACGCTTCCAGTAAGTCTGTTCACCGGATGTGTGTGTCTGTGTGTGTGTGTATGTGTGTGTATGTGTGTGTATGTGTGTGTGTGGTGGTTGGGGCAGTCATCAATGTACACGCTTCCAGTAAGTCTGTTCGCCGGATGTGTGTGTATGTGTGTGTGTATGTGTGTGTGTATGTGTGTGTGTGTATGTGTGTGTGTATGTGTGTGTGTGGTGGTTGGAGCAGTCATCAATGTACACGCTTCCAGTAAGTCTGTTCACCGGATGTGTGTGTATGTGTATGTGTGTGTATGTGTATGTGTGTGTGTGTGTGTGTATGTGTGTGTGGTGGTTGGAGCAGTCATCAATGTACACGCTTCCAGTAAGTCTGTTCACCGGATGTGTGTGTATGTGTGTGTATGTATGTGTGTGGTGGTTGGGGCAGTCATCAATGTACACGCTTCCAGTAAGTCTGTTCGCCGGATGTGTGTGTGTATACGTGTGTGTGTGTGTGGTGGTTAGAGCAGTCATCAATGTACACGCTTCTAGTAAGTCTGTTCGCCGGATGTGTGTGTGTATGTGTGCAAACTATAATTTAATTATTTTGTTTTATTTGCGAAGTTAAAAGGGAACTTCTAAAATCAATGCTCATGCTCATGGTCATGGTAATGACATGGTACTAATACATGGCATAGTACTGATACATAACCTAGATAGGATGGTAAAATACATAACCCAGAATTCAAAGTATTTAAACAGACACAAACAGCATCAATATTAAAGACATGGTTTTATTTAATTTAGCAAAGAGATGCTTTTCTAAACGTCTTGGCCGATTTTAGCGCGTGGGCTGTTGTCTGTTTACAATTGATGTGGGCTGTTGTCTGTTTACAATTGATGTGGGCTGTTGTCTGTTTACAATTGATGTGGGCTGTTGTCTGTTTACAATTGATGTGGGCTGTTGTCTGTTTACTATTGATGTGTGTTGTCTACTTACTACTGATGTGTGCTGTTGTCTGTTTACTATTGATGTGTGTTGTTGTCTACTTACTATTGATGTATGTTGTTGTCTACTTACTATTGATGTGTGTTGTCTACTTACTACTGATGTGGGCTGTTGTCTGCTTACTATTGATGTGTGCTGTTGTCTGTTTACAATTGATGTGGGCTGTTGTCTGTTTACTATTGATGTTTGTTGTTGTCTGTTTACAATTGATGTGGGCTGTTGTCTACTTACTATTGATGTGTGCTGTTGTCTGTTTACAATTGATTGTGGCTGTTGTCTGATTACTATTGATGTGTGTTGTTGTCTGTTTACTATTGACGTGGGCTGTTGTCTGATTACTATTGATACATCGATCTCAACACTCTCCAGATCGCAACGAGAGGGCCATCGGTGGCCAAGAATTCAAGCGGGGCCAGTGGCCATGGCTGGTCCTACTAAAAGGGGAGATAGTCACGAGCCGACTGTTTGGTCTTCTCCCCCTCGGCAAGAGATACGCCACCTGTGGGGGTGTCCTCATCTCTGACCAGTGGCTCGTGTCTGCTGGACATTGTTTTGAGGACAGGTACGTCATGTGACGTCATATCCTGCAACAACACGAACAATGCAAACAGATACGCATACAGACTTATATATGCCTTTTATATAACTTTTATACAATCTTTATCTACACATACATCCAAGCATACATATAATTATATCAAAATAAACGACACATTGTGTATCTACACATACATGCATACACACAGCATATCATTCATATATACATGCATAGGATCTACACGTTTTAAATAAATAATACACATACCCGTATTTGCCTTATGTTAAACATGTTATGATAATTATTTTCCTATTCCTTTTTTTAAACAAACTACACCAGCAACTGGAGATGGAAAGCCAGTCTGGGATCTGTGAGGTACAAGGTAGGCAAGTCTGTCGGCAGTGGAAGCCCCCCCCCCCCCCCCTCTTAGGCTACCATTCTAACAGAACTATTCACTTCCATGAGAGGTGTCGAGTTCGAACCCTCGGGCAGATAAGGCTCGATCCCTCCCAACACTAAAAATTAAGAACGAAGAAGAAAGATCTGACAAAACCATTTAGTATCAGAAAACTTACGCTGTCAACGTTAAAGTGATAAACCTACGCGGATATAAAAAATGAAGATAGTTTTTGCTTAATTTTTTTCTATCAATTTTCCCTAAAACGTTTCTTATTTGATTTTCCCCGCCCCCATCCCCACTCAACTGTGTCTAACAGGGGGGGGGGGGAAAGGAGATTACGCCCTTATCAATACCCCCCCCCCCCCCACACACACCTTCCCTATATTGCCAAAAAGATTGAGATATCACACCCCCCCCCCCAATCCCATTACTGTTGGGGCTAGAGTTACGGAAAAATAACTTGATTCAATTTTTACCCGGTTCCTCTGCTAGGCAGTCTTAGAATGCTTAGGGAAAATACAAAATCCGATTTGTTCAGTGTCAGCCTATTTCAGGCAACTTACAGCATCCCGAGTTTTTCACTCTGTCGGGAACATGTACAATATGTTCTCTGGAAGGGGGGGTGGGGGTGGCAGGGTGAGGTAATAATCATGACTGACATTTACAGGGGGTAAACGTAATAGGAAGGGGGAGGGGGAATTGTAGTTTACAGGTCTAACTGAAACGCTTTGTCTTCAATCTTTTAGCCGTCATTCGGTGATCGATTCTTCAATCTTGTCGGGAAAGTGATCGATAGCGATCGGCTCAGAGTCTGGGAGGTGAAAGTCGAGAGAATCATTATCCACCCCCACATCAATCGCACAGGTAACAAATCATTATCCACATTCTCATCAATCGCACAGGTAACAAATCATTATCCACCCCCTCATCAATCGCACAGGTAACAAATCATTATCCACCCCCACATCAATCGCACAGGTAACAAATCATTATCCACCCCCTCATCAATCGCACAGGTAACAAATCATTATCCACCCCCTCATCAATCGCACAGGTAACAAATCATTACCCACCCCTCATCAATCGCACAGGTAACAAATCATTATCCACCCCCTCATCAATCGCACAGGTAACAAATCATTATCCACCCCCACATCAATCGCACAGGTAACAAATCATTATCCCCCCACCCCTCATCAATCGCACAGGTAACAAATCATTATCCACCCCCACATCAATCGCACAGGTAACAAATCATTATCCACCCCCTTATCAATCGCACAGGTAACAAATCATTATCCACCCCCTTATCAATCGCACAGGTAACAATACTATTGTAGTGGTTGTATATGCAACACGTCTGTTTAAAAAACCACGCATAAAGTTGAGTAGGCAACATTTGAATTAGTCGGAAATCGCCAAAATTAGCCAACATACATACACACACACTCACACGCATATATATATATATATATATATATATATATATATATATATATATAATATATATATATATATATATATATATATATATATATATATATATATATATATATATATATATATATATACACGAATCCAATAGAGTTCAGCAATGACATCGCTTTGGTGAAGCTATCGAAGGCTGTGCCCGCCAGTGGCAGATACTCCAACATCAGGAGCATACCACTGCCATCAGAAGAAGACAGCTCCTTCCCTCAACCTGGTCAGGTCTGTGTCACCAAAGGCTGGGGGTGCACCACTAAAGGTGAGCTCACGTTTAAACTTCACACAACCTGTTCAGGTCTGTGTCACCAAAGGCTGGGGGTGCACCACTAAAGGTGAGCTGGGGGTGCACCACTAAAGATGAGCTCACGTTTAAACTTCACACAACCTGGTCAGGTCTGTGTCACCAAAGGTTGGGGATGCACCACTAAAGGTGAGCTTAAACTTCACACAACCTGGTCAGGTCTGTGTCACCAAAGGTTGGGGATGCACCACTAAAGGTGAGCTTAAACTTCACACAACCTGGTCAGGTCTGTGTCACCAAAGGTTGGTGGTGCACCACTAAAGGTGAGCTTAAACTTCACACAACCTGGTCAGGTCTGTGTCACCAAAGGTTGGGGGTGCACCACTAAAGGTGAGCTCACGTTTAAACTTCACGCATTTGCACGTGTTTCCAAGTAACTAGTTTCAAGGCTGCCAGTGCTAATTTTATGGTTATAGACTATGTAAAGGCGGATGCAATGCCAAGTTTCAAGTTCAATAGCGGACTTTGTGTTTTATGTGACGTTATAAGTATAAGTATATACAATGAAAATTTAAAACAGGATGTCAATTTAATTTTAGTATTAGAACAGTGAAACAAAAAAAAATCGAGTTTATGTCTACTGTCCAACCAGGACATCACATGCTTCAACATCTACCAACCCAAAACCTCATTACTTAAACATCTACCCATCCCGACCCCCCCCCCCCCCATTACTCTAACCAGATCAAGGCCCATCTAGTCATGCCAGACAGATAGAGATCCCCGTCTTAGAGCCGGCAGTTTGCAACTTAACATACAGGAAGTCAATGGACAATAGAATCTGTGCTGGACACATCAACATGGGTGTAGGGGTGTGTCAGGTAAGTTGTATGTAATATGTACCAGCGAGATGTAATGTCATATGTACTAGCAGTAAGCACGTAATACATACCAGCAGTATGTATGTACTACGAATCAGCAGTATACATGTCATATGTACCACGTACCAGCAGTATGTATGTAATACATACCAGCAGTATGTATGTTATGTATGTACTACGTACCAGCAGTATGTATGTTATGTATGTACTGTACCACTTCCCACTATTTTTGTTCAGGGTGACAGTGGAAGTCCTCTGGCCTGTAAAAAGGGAAACAACTACGCCCTAGCTGGGATTGTCTCATTCAACAGCAAACACCACCCTGAGAACTATCCAGCCGTCTTCACCAAGATCCACTCCTATATCCCATGGATAAAATCAGTGATGACAACATTCAACTAACTTGTCCACCCAACAAACTAGTTCTTTCCTTGTGTACAATAAATTTTGCAAATAGTTTTTAGAAAATAAAACCTATTTATACTTTTCTCATAAGTTCAAACAGAAATAAATGTAACTGCTGCACAAACTTGTTACTTTAAAATGTTGTCATCCTGTTGGTTCAATTTGCAACAGTGTGAAGTGAAATTATTTGATGTGAAATGTGAACAGAAACTTTAGGCAACATTGGTAGGACATTTTTTTTAAAATTTATTATTTGATAGTTGCCCTAGGCCTAAAAACTAAACTCTGATGCTGTGTTATAGCTGGCCAACTTGGCAGGTGAGTTATATCATAGCTGGCCAACTTGGCAGGTGAGTTATATCATAGCTGGCCAACTTGGCAGGTGAGTTATATCATAGCTGGCCAACTTGGCAGCAGTTATATCATAGCTGGCCAACTTGGCAGCAGTTATATCATAGCTGGCCAACTTGGCAGCAGTTATATCATAGCTGGCCAACTTGGCAGGTGAGTTATATCATAGCTGGCCAACTTGGCAGCAGTTATATCATAGCTGCCCAACTTGGCAGGTGAGTTATATCATAGCTGGCCAACTTGGCAGCAGTTATATCATAGCTGGCCAACTTGGCAGCAGTTATATCATAGCTGGCCAACTTGGCAGGTGAGTTATATCATAGCTGGCCAACTTGGCGGCAGTTATATCATAGCTGGCCATCTTGGCAGCAGTTATATCATAGCTGGCCAACTTGGCAGCAGTTATATCATAGCTGGCCAACTTGGCAGCAGTTATATCATAGCTGGCCAACTTGGCAGGTGAGTTATATCATAGCTGGCCAACTTGGCAGCAGTTATATCATAGCTGGCCAACTTGGCTGCAGTTATATCATAGCTGGCCAACTTGGCAGCAGTTATATCATAGCTGGCCAACTTGGCAGCAGTTATATCATAGCTGGCCAACTTGGCAGCAGTTATATCATAGCTGGCCAACTTGGCAGGTGAGTTATATCATAGCTGGCCAACTTGGCAGCAGTTATATCATAGCTGCCCAACTTGGCAGCAGTTATATCATAGCTGGCCAACTTGGCAGCAGTTATATCATAGCTGGCCAACTTGGTAGTAGTTATATCATAGCTGGCCAACTTGGCAGCAGTTATATCATAGCTGGCCAACTTGGCAGGTGAGTTATATCATAGCTGGCCAACTTGGCAGCAGTTATATCATAGCTGGCCAACTTGGCAGGTGAGTTATATCATAGCTGGCCAACTTGGCAGCAGTTATATCATAGCTGGCCAACTTGGCAGGTGAGTTATATCATAGCTGGCCAACTTGGCAGCAGTTATATCATAGCTGGCCAACTTGGCAGCAGTTATATCATAGCTGGCCAACTTGGCAGGTGAGTTATATCATAGCTGGCCAACTTGGCGGCAGTTATATCATAGCTGGCCATCTTGGCAGCAGTTATATCATAGCTGCCCAACTTGGCAGGTGAGTTATATCATAGCTGGCCAACTTGGCAGCAGTTATATCATAGCTGGCCAACTTGGCAGGTGAGTTATATCATAGCTGGCCAACTTGGCGGCAGTTATATCATAGCTGGCCATCTTGGCAGCAGTTATATCATAGCTGGCCAACTTGGCAGGTGAGTTATATCATAGCTGGCCAACTTGGCGGCAGTTATATCATAGCTGGCCATCTTGGCAGCAGTTATATCATAGCTGCCCAACTTGGCAGGTGAGTTATATCATAGCTGGCCAACTTGGCAGCAGTTATATCATAGCTGGCCAACTTGGCAGGTGAGTTATATCATAGCTGGCCAACTTGGCGGCAGTTATATCATAGCTGGCCATCTTGGCAGCAGTTATATCATAGCTGGCCAACTTGGCAGGTGAGTTATATCATAGCTGGCCAACTTGGCAGCAGTTATATCATAGCTGGCAAACTTGGCAGCAGTTATATCATAGCTGGCCAACTTGGCAGCAGTTATATCATAGCTGGCCAACTTGGCAGGTGAGTTATATCATAGCTGGCCAACTTGGCAGCAGTTATATCATAGCTGGCAAACCTGGCAGCAGTTATATCATAGCTGGCCAACTTGGCAGCAGTTATATCATAGCTGGCCAACTTGGCAGCAGTTATATCATAGCTGGCTAACTTGACAGCAGTTATATCATAGCTGGCCAACTTGGCAGCAGTTATATCATAGCTGGCCAACTTGGCAGCAGTTATATCATAGCTGGCCAACTTGGCAGCAGTTATATCATAGCTGGCCAACTTGGCAGCAGTTATATCATAGCTGGCCAACTTGGCAGCAGTTATATCATAGCTGGCCAACTTGGCAGCAGTTATATCATAGCTGCCCAACTTGGCAGCAGTTATATCATAGCTGGCCAACTTGGCAGCAGTTATATCATAGCTGCCCAACTTGGCAGCAGTTATATCATAGCTGGCCAACTTGGCAGCAGTTATATCATAGCTGGCCAACTTGGCAGCAGTTATATCATAGCTGGCCAACTTGGCAGCAGTTATATCATAGCTGGCCAACTTGGCAGGTGAGTTATATCATAGCTGGCCAACTTGGCAGCAGTTATATCATAGCTGCCCAACTTGGCAGCAGTTATATCATAGCTGGCCAACTTGGCAGCAGTTATATCATAGCTGGCCAACTTGGTAGTAGTTATATCATAGCTGGCCAACTTGGCAGCAGTTATATCATAGCTGGCCAACTTGGCAGGTGAGTTATATCATAGCTGGCCAACTTGGCAGCAGTTATATCATAGCTGCCCAACTTGGCAGCAGTTATATCATAGCTGGCCAACTTGGCAGGTGAGTTATATCATAGCTGGCCAACTTGGCAGCAGTTATATCATAGCTGCCCAACTTGGCAGCAGTTATATCATAGCTGGCCAACTTGGCAGCAGTTATATCATAGCTGGCTAACTTGACAGCAGTTATATCATAGCTGGCTAACTTGACAGCAGTTATATCATAGCTGGCTAACTTGGCGGCAGTTATATCATAGCTGGCCAACTTGGCAGCAGTTATATCATAGCTGGCTAACTTGGCAGCAGTTATATCATAGCTGGCTAACTTGACAGCAGTTATATCATAGCTGGCTAACTTGACAGCAGTTATATCATAGCTGGCCAACTTGGCAGCAGTTATACCATAGCTGGCCAACTTGGCAGCAGTTATATCATAGCTGGCTAACTTGGCAGCAGTTATATCATAGCTGGCCAACTTGGCAGCAGTAATATCATAACTGGCCAACTTGGCAGCAGTTATATCATAGCTGCCCAACTTGGCAGCAGTTATATCATAGCTGGCCAACTTGGCAGCAGTTATATCATAGCTGGCTAACTTGGCAGCAGTTATATCATAGCTGGCCAACTTGGCAGCAGTTATATCATAGCTGGCTAACTTGACAGCAGTTATATCATAGCTGGCTAACTTGACAGCAGTTATATCATAGCTGGCTAACTTGGCGGCAGTTATATCATAGCTGGCCAACTTGGCAGCAGTTATATCATAGCTGGCTAACTTGGCAGCAGCTATATCATAGCTGGCCAACTTGACAGCAGTTATATCATAGCTGGCCAACTTGACGGCAGTTATATCATAGCTGGCCAACTTGGCAGCAGTTATACCATAGCTGGCCAATTTATAGCTGTACCAGACAAGAACCCATGGTGCACACGTTTACATGTAATACAAATCAATTTTTTTTTTTAACAAAATGAAAACAAATTTTTAAAATGAGTTTTTGAAAAGTGTGAGAAAAAATTAAACAGTAAAAGATAAAAATGCTTAGCTGATATGTGCAAAATTTAATAAAAATTACACTAAAGTAAATCAAAATTTAACTGGCTGCAGTTGCATAAAAATAATGGTAAGAAACCAAAAGATTTTTTTTATAAAAGTGCTACTTTTTTATCAGATGAAAAAGTCTAACACATTTGATAATAAAACATTAATAATTTTCTTAAAAATCATGGAGATAGAAGTAGGTTTTGTTCCTAGATCACATATTTCAATGACAAGTTTGACTTCAAATCACAAAGAACATATTTCTGTGACAAAATAGCACTTAAAAAAAAAGGTCATGGTGTATGCTAGTTTTTAATCCTGTGTGCTCCAATACAAGCTTTCCCATTCACAATATTATAAATATATATATATACGTTTAAGCTTAACTTCTTTTATGTGGATTCATAAAAGAGTCACAGTCAATTAAAATTTTGCTTTTCTGTCAACTTTTAAAAAATCAAAAACTTTTGCAACCTTAAAAACAACTCACCAAAAATAATTAAAATAAAACTTAATGTTGACAATTTAAAATATATTATTGCACCAAAGAGAGTAGCACCAATAATTGAGTAGCCTGACAATGTCTTATCAACTGTATAATATCATCTGTGTTTGTATACAAGTACACCAGAACTTGTTGAACTTCGTTCTCTGGTTGATGCACATGTGGTGGAGTAAGATTCTAATTTATTTGGAAGAAAACCAGAGGCCTGTAGGACATACAGAATACAAGATACAGATCTTAAAACTTTGGACTGTAACACAAAAATATAAAACATAAACAAAAAGTGGACATACAAATCTTAAAACTTTGGACTATAACACAGAAAAAAAAAAAAGAGTATTATACATAATGAATAAAATTAAGCACAAATGTTACTGACCTTTGCAAAGACACAGAATCCACCTTTAGCTAATATTATTCTTTTCTCTTCTAATGTTAAACTTTTAGCTTAAGAGGCAAAAACAAAATAGAAATTTTTAGCTCAAAAATTAGGAAGAAATTTTTTAAAATAATGTCATATAATTATAAGCAATTATAAGCAACTTAAAACACAAAACATTTAACATGCATACAAAAAGAACACATTTAAAAGGCAGTGCTTGTGTTTAGTATACATAAAAACAACATCAACAACAACTCCTCAACAGGTAATTAATTCACAGTAACTTTAATGGTTATAAATAATAATTTGTATAGAAAAAAACCTCATCCTAATATACCCCACACTACTTTACCTTAAAAGTTCTATGACCACATGACAAAAAGAGGATATTTTTTTAACTAGCTTTTTATAAGAAAAACTGTTCATGATGATCTTAAAATGAAAACAATACCGAAGGTCCCTATTTACTTACACAACAGCTAAAGAAATTAAACTAGAAAACAAAAACTCATAATGCTTACCATTTTTGTAATATTTAGCTATCATGAGTAAAGTTCTCGACATTTAAAGTTCACTTTTCAAAATTACATATTTCTACAGACCAAGAATGTCAAGTTGTAAAGAATTCTATAAAAATTGAATAAAAAAATCATTTTACTCACAATCAGTATCAGCTTTTCTGTCTTCAGGTCTGAGGAAATTTTAAGATGCAACAAATTATTATTCATCAAGTCAAATTAACTCAGAACAAAATAATTATGTATTTAATAAGTAGTTCTATAAAAATATGGAGTTTTACAAGCTAGAGAAAGAGTTATAAAGTAAAATCGTTGTGAAGTGGATAAGAATTTCTAGGTGTTATATTAAGAATACAAGAGAAGGAGAATGAACATTTTTTTCTAATGTTACCCAGTCACCTAGCAAATAATGTTTAAAATTATGGACAAAACTGCTAATGCCTTCAGAAGTAATACATTACTAACTGGAGCTTTTTGAAAATGACAAAGAGCAAATAAATAAATAAAAGTATTATGTGCATTTTAATTCTACAGAACCTACCAGGGGCAGAAAATTAAAAAAAAAGTATGATGTAACAATTTAACTCCACATAAACAATTTCTCTTACCTGGGTAAACCTACAGAACAAACACTGTTGTAACAATTGTCTTGGACTCTGGATCCCTTAAATGAAAGGTAAAGAATTAGCAAAAAAATTGAAGAAAGAAGTTTAAGAGGAAAGATTAATACTTTAAGTTTGTAACCACACTCTCAGTGGTCGGTAAGACTTGCCATACCATAGAGACGCTCTCAGGTGTAATTTTGAATAAGAACACAAGTAAAATAATTCTTATCATTAATTTCCTCTAAAAAAAATAATTCTTTATTTTTTATTCTTTAAAACTAAGTGATCATCTTTGCACAAGTACAATAAATAATTTCTTAAAATTAATATTAGTATGTAGGGCATATTCAATTGTGATTAATTTATATCAGTGATGTGTGGGTTTTAAATCAACGGGTAAAAAGTTATGAGTCATTTTTCAGCATAGGTACTGAAAAAAATTAAGTGAAAATAAATAATTCCAGTCAAACATGAAAATAATTCCAAGCTTAAAAAGTTAATAAAGTTTTCTTTTTGTCTATCTGACACTGTAGAATTTTTTTTCATGATACAGTGAATACATCATTATTTAAATTTTTTTTTTCATAAGTACCTTTGTTGTTTTGAAACCTGAGAACCCCATACATTTTTTCATTTCTTCCTCTTCTTCTGTTAATGCTGTCTTGACAACCTCTTCATCTAAACATTTTTAAAATTTCAATGGTAGCAACATGGGTCAATAAATAACATTTTTCACAAATTATGCAAAATTTTAAATTGAGTATTTATATTAATAGAATGAATGAATGTATGCAGTTTTTAATACCAAGTAAAATGATGATTAAAAAACAAACAAGAGTGACAGCTAATATTATGAAATACCTATGCAAGTGTAGTCATTCTTGAAAAACCTTTGTTTTGGTCTACTGTAACTTTTTTCTTCATGTCTATAAAAGTAAAAAATTATAATATTGCACAGCTGAGTTAGCTGATAAAAAGTAAAAAATTTACTTTAGTGAAGCATGAGAATACTACTTAGCATACAATATCTATTATCTTTAACAGTAAATTGTAAAAAACATTTTTTTTTAAACTCTGAGCTTATTAATTTACATCATTACCTGTTTGTACACTGAAAGCAGCCCTTGTTATGCAAACTAAATAAATATTGTGCTAATTCATCATCACTTTTATGGAGTTTTTTCTTTAATAATACCCACTGATCAAAGTTCTGTGGACTTAAATAGACAGAATGATTATGATTTAATTCACTTGGATCATTTTCAAATTTTTCACTGGAAGGGGAGCTTTGATAATACACCTCTGTTCCTTTATAATGGTTAGAGTTAGAGGCTGCATCATATATCCTTTTTCTGCTACTATTTACACTTTCATATTTGTCAAGAAAAGCATTCTGAGAATTTCTGTTGGATCCCATTCCAGCAGTTGATGCATTTTGAGAAGTTCCACAATGTATCGCATTGTTACTTCCAACATTATTTTCAGAAGTGTAACTACCAAATGCACTTGTGGAACTGAAATTTTCTGCTGTATTTCCTAAACAGCCATTGCTGCTATTATAAGAATTGATAGTATTAGTATTAGATCCATTCACACTTCCAATGGAATCACAGACACTATTTCCCACATTTGTTCTTAAAGAGTTTCCGCTATTCATAGCACTTCCTACATTCATAACATCAATGTTATTTGTATTCCCATTACTTCCCATACCAGAAATTCCACCAGATGTTCCAACAGTCATACTGGTGGCAGAATTTGTCATGTAAGATTCATTTGGAAAACTATAATAATTGCTATCACAATCACTTGGACTTGGCTGAGTCGGATTTAGTTTAAAAAAAGACTTATTATTATTATCTTGTAAAACATTTGCACCTATTCCTAATTGTTGTAGTTGAATGTTTGATAAAAACTGAGAAAGTATTGAGGCTCCCATTGTTGCTAGCCCAACAGCTGGCGTACTGTTCACACTTGGACTAGGACTAGGCATAACGTTATTATTTGCAAGCCCTTTGAAGTTGGTGACACATGTGGGAAATGAGTTAACTACGGAAGTTGGGTTTGGGATTTGAGGTGAACTGAATCCCATAGGCATATAAGAGGCAGCAGCATTGGATGACTGATTGGTAAAATATTTTTGAGTTTGATTGTTGTGCGGCTGAATTCCGCTGATGCTTCCATTACCAGTGAAATAGGTTTCTTCTTGTCTTTGCTGCCACGTATCTTGCTCATTTCCGTAAATGTTTTGGCTTTGTTGACCAAAGCTAATTAAGTTGTTATGCATAAGTGTTAAACTGACTCCGTGCCAGTGGACTTTACAACTTGTTTACAAATTTAACAGACTGTAAACATTACTGCGAAATCCGTATTTTTTACTTACTGCAGTAGACTACTGCTACAGTACTGCCAGATAATAGCAGTGACTGATTTCTTTTATTCTATTTTAAAATTTAGTTTTAAATTCCATCGTTACGCTAAACGTACCAAAGTTAGAAAATATTTTTGAAAAACAGCAAACAAACAAAGAATTAAAATACATCACTTAAAATAAAACTTAATCTTTTGTTTGGCATAGTAATTTGGTATTTTAAATACTCTAATGCAAACTACAAAGTGGCTCAAATATCACGTCTATTCGCAGAAACTAATGTTCAAAATAATACCCCCACCCACACCCGTTTCTCTACTAGATCAAGATCTAATAGAACGGACTAAGCATGCTTAAAAAAATATAAGGCTCATAATGAATAAATACATTTAACTCTTTAAAGAATTTTTTTCTTATATTTTCTTACATAAAGTAGACATAAACGGAACTGAAAACAAATAGATCTAGATATTATAAGTCTATTAGAAATAAAAGGCCCATATAGTAGATCTAATACATTTTTTACAGATAGATCTATCAACCAAGCTGAGCCTTTTTCTTTATGATTTGTTCAAACCATTTTATGAATCGTATCATCCGTTTTGTACTATTAGCCTAGGCCACTAAACTTTGCTTTTAAAACTAATAATTTTAAAATGTTAATATTTGTTTTATTTAATAAAATGTAGTTTTATATAGTTATATTGTGTAGCTCTTTATTATAGAGTTAAATTAACATGTTGTTTGTTGAAAGATGGCGGTAGATTATAACTTGCCTGATCATGCATATACTATACACTAAGTATTATAATTTGTTAAAATGTCACTGATCTTGATTTTGCTTTTAATTAAAATAAGTAGTTTATAATAATTTTTAGCATTTAAAATAAATTCAGAGGATTAAAAGTACTAATCAAGTGATTTAGATTTATTATTTGACCCCTACTTCAGTTGGGAGTTGGCTTCTGCGGTAAAACTCCATTTTAGCAATTTTATTCCCCGCTTCACGTACACCTCCAGTTGAGCGTATTTTATTATCAACACAACCCAAAGACACAGAAACGTTAGAAAACACTTGGCCTATTTCTTTATGAAGTTTTGTTTTAATTTTTGATAATTTACTTTTATCAAAACTTGAGAAAAATCCAAATTTGGTTATTGAATGTGCACTAGGTCTAGGTTTAGCTTTTTTTTTCTCTTGAAAATAGGTTCGTGTCATTTAAGGAGAAACTGATAAATGCAAGTCGGATAAGTTTTTATTGTTAAAATATCTCGCACTCATGATACTATAAATAAACTCATATAAACTCTCAATGGCCCCAAGCTAATGACGACAATGACGTATGCTTATAATTAAAGTGAACTCACAGTGAACCCTTCACCATCATGGGCATGTAGGGATTTTCCTCCCGCCGACGATCACACGCTATTTAATTGAAACTGTCCTAATGCTTATTTATAATCTTTTTTTACATTTTTTAATTAAAACACACATTCATAAAAAAATAAGTAGATTCTAGATCCTTATCTATCACCTACTAATCCTAGTGTGTTCCTAACGTTTTTGTGTGTTTTGGTTGTGTATATAATAAAATACTGTCAACCGGAAGTGAATGTGAAGCGGCGAATAAAATACGCTAAAATGGAGCTCTACCGACTTCAGCTTTCGTTAAGTAAAGTCCTAACTAAAGTTATAAATAAAGTATAAAAAATAAAATATAAAAAATAGCCTAAGATTGTCTTTGTTCTGCTACAAAGCAAAATTGGAAATGATTTATTTTATAATAAAATGCCACTTTCTGTATCACATTTTACCAGTGATTAATCAGAGTCTCAAGTTTGATGTCTATTAATTAGTTATTCAATTGATAGGCCTAAATGAAATCAGTGGGTTGTTAAAGTTAAGCAAGTTCAAAATTTTGAAAAAGTTGAGTTTAATAAGCTATAGGCTTTTCCATCATCCAGTCCTTAATGGCCATATTAAAAAAACTACTAAACTTCTAGAAATAGCTGACAGACAAGGCATATTTAAAAGATCATTAGGCCTTTATTTAAGTAAGCCATAATAACTTTTTTATTTAATTTAACATTTAGGCCTATTTAGGGCTTATTAAAAGTTTTAAATGTTACTGTTAGGCACAGTTAAGGCCTAACACAATTTTTTTTTTTTACTTTTAGAACTAGATTAATTTAGCTAAATTCTTAATTTGATTAAATTTGATTAGTGATTAGCAGAGTAAATTTACCCTTTAGAACCTGGTGGTCAATGGGGCAGATGAAGCAGAGTTACTCTGTTTCTGTGACTGGTTTATGAAGAGATAGTGTGGTCAGCACAATGCTAACCTCCTTAACTTTGAGAGTCACTTACCCATCCAGTCAGATAGATAATTGTTTACAATGGTTGGGAGAAAGGGGAATGAATCAAAGTACATATTTTTTAAAGTGTTTAAGCTGTTGCTTTATCCACAGATTATCATGAGTAAGGCTGACAAAAAACAACCCTCAAAGAAAATGAAGCAAGATTTAGTGGTGGAGTTAAACAATGTTTTGATGGTGCGTGCTGAACAAATTAGGCAGCGTCTTCATAAAGAAAATCAGACAGCTGGTGAAGGTGATAATGAAGCAGCTGACTTAGTCGAAAGTGAAATACATTCATATGAGAAGTCCAGGTAGAACTACTGATAGACACTGAATCAAAAATGAAAAAATATTTTTAACCTTAAGAATATAAAAAAACATTACTTGTCACTAGGACTTGTTTCTAAACAACCATCTAAGAATATTGATTCCACTTTTTGCAGTTTATTTAATAAATTACATTCTAGTAAATTTAAAAAAAAATTATTGCAAACATTCCTTGCCCACACAAAGATTGTCTCAACAACAAAACATGTAAACATTGTCCTTCAAATATTAAAAAAAATCGCTAATAAAGTTATGCTTACTGCATAGAGGCCTTTCTTACTATGCTTTAATCAAGTGCATAAATGCCACCATATTTTGTGTTGTTCTTTCATTTAACTAGCTTACCAGAGACAACTGCAGATCAAGTTATGGTTATGAATACAAGCAGCTCAGCAATAAAAGAAAGCAATAATACTTCTAATCTGAATGCCAGTCCTAGTCATATCCCAGTGTCTAAAGCTCGTCAAAGAAGAAGGCAGAAAGTTGTAACAACCGTTGCAGTAAGCAAAAAATATTCAGAGGTAGATTTATTTTTACTTGTTGTATTTTAAATAAGGACCTTAAAAAATGCGTAACTAAATTAACATTTTAAAGATTTTCCAATAGAGTATGTAATTTGCTGGACTCACTTTTTGGGTAAAATTGTATTCACTTTTAACTATATAACTGCATGTATACTACATTTCTTTGTTTTATTTTAAAATGCAGTATTAATATCTTGTTCCTTTTATTGTCTTTTTTTATACTGAAGTTTTGATTTTTGTTTGTACACTTATTTAGAGTACAGGTTTGACTAAGCATACCAGTGTGGATCACTCAAAACATTTACATGGGGGGAGCAATGTGAATATAAAAAACTATCGTCCAGGCTATAATTGGAATATGGGAGGTCGTGTTAAAGAGCTACGTATCAGGTTAGTTTATATTTGAAACATCAACCAGCAATGTAGGAACACATCTACCCAACCATTATGGGCTTTTGTTTAATTAACATTTTATTTGTAGAGGGATAGACTGTCTCTTTCATTGACACACACACACACACACATATATTTTTTTGACCTAAGCAATGTGCTTCTGCCGACCCAATCAGAACTTATACATTATGTTAAAATATTCTTTAACAAGTACATTAAAAACATTATTAATAGCTATGATACATTTTATCATGTATTAGTATATTATTATAATGAATATCATTAAGCAATTACATTAGATGGGTGGTAAACTATATTAAATTTATTGTCTCATAAAACATTTAAGATTGTCAGCTGGCAAAACTAATAATTCTCTTTTACTTCCTCTATAACAGACAATAATCTACTGGCTCTTGAACTATATCAAACAAAATACCTAACAATAAAAAAATAACAGTTGAGTCTGGCTGGAAACAGTCTAGAGTAATGGACAAGGATACTTATTCTAAAACACCCTTCTTTTAAGCCCTAAACTATTTAGTTAACAAATTATAAGACCAATACTATAACATGGTTGACTCAGTTGAATGTACACACATGCCAGTCACTCTGTAAACAAATGTCAAAACTTCAAACATAAAATAAAATCTCATAACAAAAACAAATGATATTTTCAAAATTTTGAGTACACAAGTATTGCAAATTAAACATTTATGACATTTTATATTTTTTTGCTTATAGATATATAGCAAGAAAGTACCTATTCATTTGGCAAAAAAATGTCTTTGGTCGTGTTCCACTTGCAGTAGCCAAGTAAGTGTGTACGTTTTAAAAAGTTGTCTTTTTCATGTTTCCGACTTTATTGTGAATGAATCTCTTAGTGAATGAGCCTCTGGATTATTTCCTTTTTAAGTTTGTTGAATTATTTGAAGTCTATTAAATCTCACCTTAGCTCCTTTATGTGCCTCAATGTTATAAATTAGCAGCCTGTGGTGAACCAGCCATTTCAGTAGTAGAAAATGTAGGTGTGTAGCAATAGATCATATCTGTCTCAACTGTTCAATGTGTTAAAAAAATGTGAAACAAAATTGTAACTTTCCTCATTCACCATCTCTTAACACTTTCACACTTTATTTTTACACCTCTGCATGTGTCACATGATGTTTGCTCAGTTTCTCATGTTTTTTCCCTAGGGTTGGGAGCATATTATTTGTGAACATGTTAAACTTTTGGAAATTGGCCTTTTGTTGAACACATGCTTTGATGTGCCTATCCAGAATTTGCCTTGTTAAATGAAGTATAACAGCTGCATTAAAATACATGAATATATTACTTTTAATATTTCCATAGGCAGCATTATGAAAAGAACTTGCTGCATAAGGCATTTGTTGAATGGCATGATTTTTGGTGGGAGATCGCAAAGGAATGGAGGCTGGATGTTAGAGCTGAATGTCATCACAGGTGCAGACATTAGTTTGTATTGGTTGAGCTTATCTGTTAGATACAATTCATGCAGAAATGTGTGATTTAGTAGGTATAAATGACACATGAGACAACTTAAAATATTTTCATTTGACTGGAATATTACATCCAACAGACACCATACAGTGACTTTGTGACAGTCTAGACACCATACCTTAGTAAATTAAATCATGAATAAAATGTAACCTATTAAAGTATTTTTTGCCTCAGATACAAACTTGGAGTGCATGTCTTCACTAGATGGATTCAGTATGTTATATCAAGAAAGGAGAAGAAGGCTAAACTGATGTCTGCTAGCAGACAGTGTAAGTAACTGTTTACATACACATACTAGCTGCCTACCCGTGCTCAGCCACGGTGAATCTTTTTTAAATGTACCAACTTGAGAACAGAATAAAACTAAACACAAACGCTTATACCCGTGCTTTGCTACGGTGTGGATATCGCCACGGTGTGGATATGGATATTACCTCAGAGTTTACAGCACTTTGCATGGATTGCGGTCCCCGCATTGGGGCGGATAATCCATCAGCACACCGCGCTGCGTGCGAGTTCGGTAGCACTCTGGCGCGAATATGGATATTCACAAAAATTAAAGTCTGTTTAAAAAATTCAGAGTTAACGCTCTCACGAACGTCCGCCCAGACATCTCTCCTCTCCCAACCCAAGGCGTCATCTAAACCGCCGCCGAACGACACGTTTACCCGGCCGTCCGCGCCCAGGGAGAGACTTCCAGAATCTATAGCGATGACACGAAGAAGGAAGGACTGACACACTGACGCGTTATATTATAGATAAACATCAATGTTTGATGTAATTCTCAGTTTAAGATTCACATTAAAGAATATACTTGTGAAACAATCAACTAAATATGAAGATACATATACATCTATGTTGGAAATATAATATGTTGGAAGTTATAATATTGAATTGAACAGATATTTTTGTTATAGATAATAATCATGTGCTCTGCAAATGCTGGAAGGGATGGAAAGATTATATCAAATTCAGGCAGAAAAAAAAGTTGTTAGCAAAAAAGGCAGATGAGTTTCAAAACTCTGTGGTTACTAGGTAAGGTACAATATTTTGGTTTCATTCAAAATTGTATTCTATGTTTAATTGTATTCAATCTTTAAGTTGTACTAAATAGTTTTGTTGACAATTTCTAAAACAACTTGTTATTGTATTTTGCATTTTACTGGATATTTTTATTACCCACAACCCAACCCTCTCCTTCATTCATTCAACAGACATTTTTGGAAAGTTTGGAAAGGAAGAAAACAAAATTTGATCGTCCAACATGAAAATTTGACCTTGGCATTACAGTTTTGGGCCTACAGAATACAAGCACAAGTGAATAACATTTTTCTAATTATTTAATCCTGTCATCAGACATTTAAAGAGAGATTATGAAATTAGATAGTAATAGAGAGATCATGTAATTAGATAATCATAGAGAGATCATTGTAATCAGATAGTCATAGAGAGATCATGTAATCAGATAGTCATAGATATATAAGTATACTCAGATCATGGCTTAAAATTACTGTAATCACTCTGATAATCATTAAAATATGGGAATAAGTGTGTGTCTTTAGCGATATTATTTATTAATAATCCTGTGTAAGTAAAACTAATTCATTTTCAGATATAGTAGTGGATTAAAAGTTTTACACGTTTACCTCCATTAGCAGAAAAAGCTATGCATGTGCCAGAGACATATATTTTTACTTTACTTATATATACTTTATATTTTTACATTGGTTGCTATGGAAACCTGCCTAAGAATAAAAGTTTTTACTTTCTTCAGCATTGGTTGCTATGGAAATCTGCCCTAGAGTTGAAACATAGAGAGAAGCAGAGATACATTGATGCTGCTGTTTATCACAACAGTGTTGTAGTCTCCAAATGTCTGAAGGCCTGGACTTTGTACATAGCAAACAAAAGGACCAAGAGAAAACATGCAGGTAAATGAAATTTAGGTTGTTTTTGTTTTATTTATTTATAATCACTTTATATTAGCTAAATAAAGCATCCTTTCACACATGAGCTGTGTTACTGTACCCATGGTATATGGCTGGGTGGACTTAGAGTTGACTGCTGGTAACTAAAGTTTCTGTTGAGACTTTGTATACTTACCACACTGTTATGCCATTCCTTTCCTTTAAGAACAATCTCTGAAATAAAAAACAAACAAAATGGCTAAATGCTTGTCATGAATTTTATTTACAATTTTAAATTATTTAATTGTAAGAAAATATTTTGACCACGATTAAAGTTTTAACAAGTATTTATGTATACTGCCATGGTCTTTTCATAAATGTTTAAATTTTTCCATGTGGTGAGTATGCTAAAAAAAACCTGAAATAAAAATATTATTGTCTTACAATAACAAGTCAGTTCTAAAACTATTTTCAGAGTTTGCCACCCGTGTTTACTCAGCCAATCTGAAAGTTCGGTGTTTCAACCACTGGTTTCAGTCCTGGCACATGCTGAGGTCTTTACAACAACATAAACTCAAAATAGAATCACATTCAAAAAGTTTTAGATATCGTTGGGTATTTTGGAGATGGAGGCAATGTATCCTTTACACTAGGAATTTCCATTTAATTTTTAATTGGCAAAAGAAAAGTTTAAAATAAATAGGTCTTTAACTTTACCATGTTCATACATTTTTAAATTGTTAAACAAAAGTAAAATATTTGGTTAAATAATTGAATTATAAATCTAGGCCACTATATTTTGTTAATTTGGTTGCATGAATGTTATTTTCTTTAACAAGATACAGATGTTACTTTAAATAAAAACATGAAAGAAACAGACATCTTGGCTGTTAGACATTGGCATTTACAGTTAATGGTAATATAAAGATTTTACGAAATTATTTTGTTTATGTTAAATATTTCAAATCTATACAAAATAGGTCTATTCAATAATAATATTTTTAAAAAAATTGTCTCCCAAAAACATTACCCAGCATAAGAAATATTTGTTTTTATTCTATATTTTTTAATCATACTAAACGTTGTTGATCAGTTCAATCTCAAACTTATCATTTTACAGAGGGTTGGTTTTGATGCTTTTCGTCTGAATGTGGTACATGCAAACATAAAGGTTATGAGAGGTCAACTGGTAACACAGCTGAGAACTAAACAAGTAAACAATGGTTCATTATTTCATATTCTTCAAACATTTGGGTTTTTTTTTTCAATCAAAAGTAGTATTTTAAAATAGTGTAGCATATGTCAAAATCATAATGATTTAAAAAACAAACAAAAAAACTTTCTTTTGAGTTGAGGTAGATCTTTTAGTCTTATGATGGGTTTTAAGAAAAAATGGGCAACCCCAAAATTAACAGATATACTTTATAAATTCTTGATTTTGTTATTCAAATACGTATGTAGTGAAATGTTTTTTCTAATGATCAGCTTCAACGTTCAGCTTGGAACAAATGGAAATCTGCATGTGAGAAGAGAGAGGAACTAAAGATGGCTCCACAGACAAAACTTGCACGAGACCATAGAAAGTAATTAAACTTTTAATTTTGAGCATGTTTATTCTGTTGTAAATTATGTTTTCTTGCTTAAAGCTTATAATTTACTCAACAAAGCAACATTATGTATGCTTTAATATGGTATGTAGGAGTTTTAATATTTCAATATTGCAGATGTTGAAAATTTAAAATAATTTCAGTTCCAGGTTATTGCAGAAATGTTTTTCAGCATTAGTTAATTACACCACATGGAAACAACACCAAAAGGTATGAAAATCTTTTAGTATCATGATAATATGAATTTAACATTAAAATAGTTAAACATATTGTAAAAAGTTTTTTATTTTTTAACAGCAACAGTTTGCTAAAGCTGATGCACATTTCTATCTACAAATTATGCCGAAATGTTTATATCACATGCGAGCTTATGTTGATCTGGAGAAAACTTGCAGAGAAAATGCTGTTAAAGCCAAGGAATACAGAAGGTGGGGCTTGTTTTGTGTACAATTTTTGTTTTGGATTTACTTTGACAGTTTTGAAAATCACAAACAATCCTATTGGTGATAACAGTTGATTTTGTGAATTTATTCACATAACATTAAGTTTAAATTTCATAGTTTAATAAGCTATCTTTAATAACATTTCTATCAAGAAGTTGTGGAATGTCTGCTGAAAATAAACTGAAATTAATTATCCTAAAGTAAATATCATAAAGATGCTTATTGACTCAGATAACCATAATCAGTTAGTACTATTCCTTGAATATTTATTACATCTTTTTATAAGCCTTTGTTAACTGGTGTAAATTAATACATCTTTTATAAACCCTTGTTAACTGTTGCAACTTTTTAAAAGCCCTTGTTAATTGCTGTGATTAACTGACTTGATGAAAAACTTTTTAGGTTGAGTGTACAACAATATGTGTTCCAAATCTGGTATAATGCAGCCAATCAGAGCAGGGATGAAAGGATGATGTGCAGAATGGTGGGTTGATTTTTAACCATTTTTAAAATTACGAAGTTGTATTGAAAAACTTGTGTTGTTAGACTTTTTTTTTTGTAGTATGCTATTTATGACCTGGAATAAAAATACATTTTATTTTGAAAATTATAATTATATATATTAGCATCAGCTTGTATTTTATTTTATTATTTTTTACAACATTTTATACTGATAAAAAGGCAATGAAAAGGAGTGACAGCAAGGATTATTCAAAATGATTGTTCTTTAAAAAAAATTGTATCATTGTACAGGCATTGTTACACAGAGAGTCAGTACTTCTTCACTCCTTCTTTGCCTTATGGAGACAGAGGACAAAAGATGTGGAGCAGGAGAGAGAGAGAATAAACCAAGTGAGAGACCACTACCTGTGGACCCTGTGTAGCAGGGTTTGGTGCGCCTGGAGAAAAGTGGTTGAAGATAAGAAGACTCTGTGAGTACTGTCTATGTTCACTGTGTACTGGAGATTTATATTTAAAATAGTTTTTAAAATAGCTCTTTCATTAAAATGTTTAAAAAATAATTTCAGATTGTTAAATACTAAAAAAGCTTGTCGCCACTACCACCTTCGAAAAATGAGGTTGGCTCTCCAGTATTGGAAACAGGTGAAATAATTACATACAATTTTTTTTTAGAACTAAATGTTTGTATAGCTAATGATAGATGAAATAACTATAAATAAATTACTATTTATAACTAACTGTTAGTACAGAGTTAAACACTTTTGCTGTGACTAGTGTGATGACACACACTGAAAAAACCACAATTATTGTTTTAAAACAACTGAAATGACTTACTATTTTGTCAAAACATGAATACAATTTTCTATGTTGGGGTATGTTTTGAAACATCAGTTTTAACTGTCAAGGTGTTATCTTTGATAAAAGCAACTTAATGTGCAAATAAGCAAATTTATCTTTTGTGCAATACATTTTTATATAATTATAGTAATTGTCATAAGCAATAATGCTTTTTTTTCCAATCTGTAAATATTGTTTACGAAACAGTTTAATACAGCTATATTCATAATTAAATATTCTTGAATTAGTATTATAGGACTATAATTAAGATTGTTAGTTAAGATTGTTAGTTAATGAACTTGATTTGTTTCATGTTTGTGTGTTTGTATGTTCTCTCAAATGTTACATGTATTCGCAGTGGGTGAGGGAAAAGAAAGAAAAGAAAGAAAAAATGAAAAAAGCTGTCCTGCATTATAAATTTAAGAGCCTAAAAATTTCACTAAAAAAGTGGAAAACATTTATTGTTGAATGCCGGAAGTTCAAATCTGTGTCAGATGTTAGATATCAGGCGCACGCCTCTCAACTTGTCAGGTAAAGGTTTACCTTGATTTAGTTTTAGACTTAATGAGCATAATCATGTAATGGTGATTACATATTTTGCTTTATGTTAAATTCAAATCTTATATTTCATTTGAGTTTTTAGTGACACATTTATTTGTGGTATAGAGTAGAAAAATTAAAATATTTACTTGTTTTTTTTTAAGGCAAACATTTTTGGCATGGAGAAAGACAGCTGTTCATTTAGCTGCCATTAGAAAAAAGATCTTGGCAGCCAATATACATTACAATAGGAAGTTAATGCATCAGGTAAACATAGACATTTTCTTACATGCACTATTACATTAATTTTAAGGAGAGATGCTGTGTTTTCCAGTAGGTAAGACAGAACTAAACTTTTCCTCTTAAAATATAGAATGGGATATACTGGCCCTATTGTGTGACACACAGCATACAAGACGACCCCAAACTTTTGAGATTTTTCTGGGTTAAAAGTCATCATATGTGCTGGATAATATAGTGTATACACAGACATCTTATTGTATAAACATGTTAATGTAAGAATACACAAACAAACATGTACTACCCCTTCTTACTTAAACCCACACTGTAAAATATTGACTTACTTATTAAGTTAGTACTTATTTTTAATGCTGTTTTAGGTTATTATTTCATGGCATCGACAAGCATCAATCCAAGCCTATAAAACATCTCAGAATCAACAACTCTTGAGGGAAACTCAGGAACACTTAGATCACTGTATGCTTTCTCTGTATTTACTGTACTGTTTATTTAAATTAGGAACACTTAGATCACTATGATTTCTTTATGTCCACTGTGCTGTATTTTATTTTAGTTTAGAATGCAAACATGTCTTTGAAATCTATTATTTCTCTAGTCAAACTTGGGCTTTACTTCAAGCACTGGAAAGATGCCAAACAAAAGTCCAGTGAATTGCAGCAATGTAGTTTGAGAGCAGAGAGCCATTATGGCAGGAGTTTGCTGTGTAAGACACTGAAAGACTGGAAAATGTACTGCAGGGGTTGCCTGAAGAAAAGAGTGAGTACCTACACAGCTTCAGTTTGAACATTTTTTGTTTGCAGCTTTCATTTATTTTTTTTATAAAATAGTTTCCAATACACTCTTAACGTTTGATCTGGTCTATTAATTTGACTAGTTTAGCAATCCTATAAATATCTTTACAGCTGTTATTACGTCAATGCATTTGGTTTCACAATGTGCGTATAACTGCCAAACATTACTTGATATGGAAGACAAGACTAGATGAACACAGGGAGGAGATGGAGAAATCTCAGCTAGCTATGTGGCAGTGGAGCTTAGTTTTACAGAGGAAGGTACGTCAAGACTGCTAGTATTAATTGACTTAATCAGAATTTTAAAATAATTGTTTCATAAAATTAATTTTTTGTTCTGTTAAGGTTTTGTCGTTAGTTAATTTATTAAAAAAAAAAACGTCACGTAAATGATGTTTTAAAATAGTGTGTATAGTACTATTTAATTTATTATTTGTTGTTTTAGTTCTAATTTTTTTTCCAAATATGTCACTGATCTTCTAGGTATTGTTGGCCTTAAAGGTGTATGTACAGAAACGCAGGTACAAAAAGTCACGTTTGGCAGAAGCTGCAGTTTTATGGCGCCAAAATCTTTTACATGAAGCTTGTGGTCAGTGGTTGTCAACAGCAGACAGTTTATCTCACAGGCGGTCAGTGATGGCAGAACAGCACCAGGCCAAGTCTGTGCTGGACAGCTTCCAGCTAGTTCACAGGTGTGCTCTCCACTGGAAGATCTGGGCCAAGAGAAGAGGGGAGACTAACAAGGTTTCAAGGGACATAACTCCCTCGCTGATGTCTTCAGTTTTTATGTCTAAAGACACTTCCAAATTCCCAGTTGTTCACACAATCTACTCAGGGCCAGCCACTCATCCTGTTCCAGCCATTAAGCCAGGTTTTTCACCTGTAAAGCCAGTAAATGTACTCAGGTGTGTAGTGTATCCCAACCATATCTGTTTTCACTAGAGTACCATCCGAATAAAAGCATAAAATTTTGTTAATTAAAATTTTGTCATGCTTCTATCTATATATATAATTCTCTTCTTCGAGCCGTTAGAAAACAAGCTGCAAACGCTCTCCCTACCTCCCCACCCCTACATGGTTTTAGTGAGCTGTGTTCACTCTAAATGTTTACAAGCAGAGCCAACGATTTTAAACGTAGGGGGGGGGGGGGGGAAGGAAGGGGGGGGGGTTATGGTCCTTAACGAGCTACTTATAGTGTTTTAAAGAAATATTTTCAGTGTCAGCGTTGGTACTGTCGAATTCACAAATTATGAATTATTGAAAATTAGAAACAACTAAATAGCGGCGTATGTTATGCCGCGGGCCGGCTCGTCTTTATTATTTTTAATGTTTTTTTAATCTGTCCAGTAAGACTGGAATAATCTCCAAACAGCGACCAGCTCCCAAAAGGCCTGCTTTTTTGATAGAATCCCTTAAACGTGCTGGTCTGCAATACCTTGAACTAGACTTTGAAGACAGGTAACTTTTTAATTCATAGTCTTGTTCAGTGGTTGTCAGTTCTTAAGGTAAAAGCTGGTAAAGTGACTGTATTTTTCTCTTTTGACTATAGTCATTTGGACCTTGCTGTAGAAAATGATCAACATAAAGCTGATAATGACACATCACACAACTTTCTTAAAGACAAGTCTAATGCAGTAAGTATTGGAGTTAATGATGAGCAACTATTTTAAACTCTTTTTTTTTTTACTTTCTCGTATATACGAAGTATAGAGAAAGTATTGTAATCGTGCAAAAAAAAAAATCGAGATTTTTACAAATCTCGACGTTTTACACCTCACTGATACGGAAAAACATAATTTTGCAATCTTGTCCGTATGTCTGTGTGTGTGTGTGTCTGTCTGTGTGTAAACACGATTACTTGAATACCGTTACAGCTAGGTTGATGAAATTTCATATATAAGTTTTTTATCAAAATCGTAGATCCGTATCAACTTTTGAGCGATTTCCGATAAACGGAAGTGGTACTTTTTCTACTTTGAATTTTTAAAAAGCCTATAACTTAAGTACTATTTCAGATAGATAAATGAAATTTCACATGTAAGTAAAAGATCTAATTCTCTACCTTCTGTCAAATTTTGAGTAATTTCTGTTGACCGGAAGTAGTAATTTACGCTATTTCCGATTTCTCAAAAAACGCATGTAAATTTAAAAAGTAATAATAATATTGCGCACTATTATGCACATTTTCTTTTGGCGTTCGCTTGTTGAGCAATTCTTTTTTCTACGAGATTCTATTCTATTTTTAAAAGTTTAAGTAATTAAAAATCATGTCTATATTCCGAGTTATATAAGAATATTCGAGAAAGTTTAGGGGAGATCACTCCCGGTTTATTTTATCTTGCTAACAAAATAACAGCCCCTAATTACTTTAAAAAAAACTTGTATCTTAATATGCCAGAAAAATATGTATTGAACTGTGTCATTTGTAGAGCGTCTACACTTATGCTATCTTTCTCTTTCCAGACATGTGAAGATGTGAGACTTGTTGAGGAACCATCTTATTCACTTTTGCCTGAGAGGGACGCTCCCAGAGAAACTTTACCAACAACCTCCTGTGAAATAAGTGCCTTTATACCCTATTCAAAAACACAGAATGTGTTTACACCATTTGACTTCCATGCAGAAAGAGAACCTAAAAATAAAATCAGAAACAGAGAAGTCAGTGATGGGCAAAAATTTGATGTTTATGGCACAGCTCCAGACTTATTCTCAGGACTAACACTAACACAAACATTTGACACTGTAGCTTCCAATCTACATGGAAATAAAGAAGACAAAATTTTACTTCTGAAACCTGAAGACTTCATGAAAAAGCCTCTTCCTTTAGTTGAATCAAATAGTAGGACTAATACTAGCTTACTGCTAGGACCACCAGACACCTCATGTAGGTCTGTAAAACCTCTAGCAAAAGCTGATCTTCCCAATGTTGTGCTTCCATTGTTTACCCACACAGAAAGAGAATCTGACTCACCTTCAAGCATAGGTTCATCAAAGGAAAATTTTATCCCCATACTACAAGAGGAAAGGTGTCAGTCAAACTCCCCATCTCTAGAGCTACATCATGGGATTTTGTCTGTCAATGTCCCACAAATCAACCCTCACAGAACCAAAAGCTCAGTGACTTTCAAGCTTGACAGATCTTTAAATCCTGAGGAAGAGATCATCAGCATTAGAGACAGGCTTCAGCATTTCAAGCAATGGAAGCAGAGGTTGAGGTAAGTTCTAAGCAAGTTTGAACTAACTCGACATTCATTTGTTTTTTTAGAATGTATATTTTAATTGCCAATTATTTGCAAATATTTTTTTCTCCTACTCCATAAAATTTGATTTACCATTAAAGATTAAGCTAATATTCTATTTTTTTAAATTGTTTTTAAATACCACTTTACAAGTTAACTAAAAAAAATTGCCTGAAGAAATCTAAAATACAAGATGAATTCAAAAACATAATAGGTTTTTTTGTCTTTTTTATCGAGTTCAGGTCTCTGAAGAAGCAGCACCATCAACTCTCTGATTGGCTAGCGGAGCATGCAGACCCTGTACCACAAGATGAGGATATTGAACTCGCATCTAAGGAGTTAGAAATGGTAACTATGTCTTCAATCTATTACCTTAAATACGTAAAATTAAGAACATGAAATGTTTAAAATAAATTTTTTAATGTTTTGTGAAACTCTTTTAATAGATATTTTGTTACATTGTTTTTTTAGTTTATAATTTATAAAATGCTGTTTTTTTTAAAAAAATATTCACTTTTTATTAGATATTGCAAATTTTTCTATTTAAATTAAAGATCAAGCAAGAGATGAAAGAGCTGCAGGCTGTGTTAGACTCAGAGAAACCAGTCTGTGAGAGGCTTATTCTGCGCGCTCAAATCCTAGCTGAGCAATTCAGTTTTTGTAGCAAATAATAAAACTAACTTTAGAGCTCCCTTAATTTAGTTTAATTATGTTTTTGATGTAACTGATCATTTATTGTTGTTCTAGAAATTAGAATTGTATAACAAACAACAAAAAAATTGCTTTGCCACAGTGAAATAAGTCTCTCATTAGAAACATAAGTATAGTTACCAGGGAATCAGCATTTTATCAAATGGCATTTTGTTGCTTGGCATATTTAAATTTAAATATACTTAATTAAAGAAGTGTACTTTAGCTGACTTTTTGTTTAGACTGTTTCATTGTTTTTGTTGATTTAATTAATACACTTTTATTACCTGTAGATTTTGTACAGCTATGAAAATGATAACATGTCAATTAGAATTTAAATAAAAAGTAAAAATAGTTCAACACTGGTGAATTTATCAAATAATTTTTAACTTTTTGTATTACATTAGTTTGTATAACATTAGCAAAAAACAACCTTTTTATTTGATGCCATAAAATAACAAACCATAATAGAATGTATTGTCATGGGTCAATTTCATCTACTGCACGTCCACCTTGCATAGCCCAGTACTGCAGGAAATGTTCCTACCTGACAATAACATTATGACCAAATAATGCCAGCCATATGCAGCTGTCCACTCTTATCTACCACCCCTGAATGACTTCACCTGTGTCCACTTACCTGTGCATATACGCACATCAAGGTTACTGTCAATTACAACAGTCCATTTTTTTTAAAAGAAATGCTGTGCCAGTGAATGTTACCTGTGCAAATTGTTTTCATTCCATGAGGTGACTGTCATCTTCCGGTGGATCAATGTTGTTGATGCACCCCATAGACCTTTATTAGATACTGAGTTGTTGCAGGTTCCATCCAGAGGCAGTGGTTGGCTGCAAACCCATTGATGACAACTTTTTATGATTTCTTAAGTGCGCTAAACTTTTGAAAACTTCATTCCACGGTTTGTATGCACAATTAAAGCTATACTCGGGCCAAACTTTTCAGTTTTTGATTCCCTTACCTTTTGGAATCCTAGAAAACGCGTTTTATAGCGTATTTGTCCCGTGTTGCTGCGATCAAAATTTACATGTTTTATAAGGTTTTAATTCAACTCGTTTAAATTGTGTACCCTGTCTTTCTGAACTGAATTATTTTAATGTGAACAATGTCGGCGCTATAATATTTGGGTCTTTATAATTGTGGATCTGGTTCACACTATCTCCTAAACGTGAACCATTGAGTGTACGTTAATCACCCGTCGTAATAATGAGGTGGAGCACACCTCGGCGACCGAAAAGGTGTCAAGGGCGTCGCAGGGCGCTGTCGTGAGCCACCATTATCGTTAAGTGCTCTTTAAAACGAATGCAAGCGTCATGACGTTCACAGGGGACTCATGGGTGCTCCAGGTCGTTTGGGCGCCGATATGATTTAGCCAACGATTATAGTATAGTAGCCCACCATATACATACGTTTTCGGTATTCTTTAGAACTAAGTAGACGCCATAGTGCTCGCGTTGAATACCGTGTCGCAACGATTCACTCGCCCGCCGGGAACAATGTTTGGAACAGTTCTCATAATAGGAAAGCAAAGGCGGCTGGACAAACAATCCTTTCATGTGCCGAAATTACTGGAACAGGTGAACTCTACTTCACATGCCCAAAAACATCGATAGGGTATAGTCTGCCGCGGGTATTTCTACGACTTCAAGAGTTATGAACTGGTTTGTACGTCCAGATATATATATATTTTTTTTTACAAAAAAACGGTACTATGTTTATAAAAGGAAGTATGGACTCAGTTAAAATATTGTTCCGAGGTTTTCCCGAGGGTAGTACTATTTTTTTCCTGACCCCCTGGGGCCGATGTACATCTCAAGGAGTTTTCAAAGGGTTATGAAGAGGTTCGTACGTGGGAATTTTTTTCGAAATATAGCTCATGTAAGGCGCCGGTCAGTAGAGGTCAGTTTTGACCCCCTCTTCGTGGCCTTTTTGGCCAGCCGGCACGGCCCCCGTGTTCTGTCGCCCCAAGGCAGAATTCTGCCAAATTTGAAGCGCCTGCGACGCCGGGAACTGCCCTATCGGGCACCCGATAACTTTGCTTTATATATATAGATATTTATAAACTTTAAAAGAATTATGGTTTATAACAATAATAAGTAAAAGTACTATAAGATAATTTACAGAGCATCCCGAACTTTTGTTATGTATTTAAATTAAATACGCAGTCGAAATACGCGGTCGAAAATTTAATTCTAAAAGAAATATAGGCACATATGTTTTTGCCATATGCCTTTCTTTGGTCAACTTCTCCTCAGTCGGCCTTGTCCGTCCATATTGTGTGTTGCTGACGTTTTGCGTCAATGACAGCCATTGTACCGCGTCGGCTTTCTGTTTTGATCCTATTCTTTGTTATGATAAATGTGGGCAGTACAAGTGGTTAAACTATTGATAGGATGAGTTGAAGACAGCAAGACACATTAACTACGTCTTTATGCCATTTCAAGCTAAATTAGTATTTAAAAAAAAGATGAAAACCTTTCTATCATATTCTATTAAATATTGTATGTGTAACGCAATTAAAACCTACATACTTCCAGTGGCGGAACTAGAAAAAAAGGCCCCCCCGCAGAATTTTTTTTTGGGCCCCTATATATATATATATATATATATATATATATATATATATATATATATATATATATATATATATATATATATATATATATATATATATATATATATATATATATATATATATATATATATATATATATATATATATATATATATATGGCCCCATTAAGTTTTCGAAGTGAGAAACACCGACTCTCTAAATCTAGCCCAACACACTAAACTGACGATGATTTTTAAGAGGCTTTTATCAAACGTTACCAACCGTGTATTTTTAGACGTGTGCACTGTTTACCAGAAGTTGAATTAAATATTAACAATTTCGGCAGTTCATTTCTACCAACTAGACACGCCAAGGCATGCTGTAAGTCCTTCGGCGACGGCCCAGGTGTCAGGGGAGTCACGGGGCTTTTGGGAGCTACCGGTTACATTCAGAGTTTCTTCCAGGCATCTCTTCGGGGGGGGGGGGGGGGGGCAAGCCCCCCCGAAATTTTTTTACCGCCCCCCACCCCCCCGAACGAAATGAAATTTATATACTTTATATAGAAAATATATACTTTTAACAGTGTCCGCCCCCCCCCGAAGAAAGTCTACCGCCCCCCCCCCCCCGAAAATTTCAAGTGCCCCCCCCCCCCCCCCCCCCCGGAGAAAAAAGTCTGGAAGAAACACTGGTTACATTACTGCACAAGGGATGGGCGCGACATATTGTTTCTTCCGGCAGTCTGGAAGAAGTATTGGTGCAACACTTGATTAGATTTAGTCATCGAGTGTAGTAGCGAGACTTATTCCTAGTGTTGTGGGAACTTTTAAACGACTGGATGTGGGGGCCAACCTGCTCATATGTGATGCGCTCAGGATGACACTGTCGCCGGTGATTTCAAGTAGTAACCTCATCCGCTTATGCAAGATCTAGGGGAGCTAAATCACATATTTCCGTTGGGCGTCCCCACTCCAATATGTAAACAAATGTTAGCCTATGACAGAAACCTTTGCGTGGCTGTCCTCAACAGCTTCCAAAGTTTTCATGGCGATTGGGTAAATGATGCAGTAATGCAAAATAGGCAGAAACATGTTTTTCACATGTACAACTGTATGTGGCCAGCTCACGCGTCGGATAACCTTCTGATTTAGGGGGGGGGGGGGGATCCACAAATGACGTCACATTTTTTAACGACTAACAAAAAGCCAGACCCTCACACACCCCCGCCTCAATAACGTCATTTATAAATAATAATTGACTATTAATTATATAATAATGTTCAATTAATTCTAAACGTTCTAATTAATTTCTAAATAATTATATAAAAAATAATCTTACCTTCCCTGTTTTGTGAATTAGATGTGCCTAATACTAATAGTATGAAAGCAAATTAATATCTGTTGACTAGTGCTGTCTAGTGTCTGACAAAATGTGCTAAAGTGGTGAATCGTACGGTTAGGAAGTAGTTCATAAACGATACATTGATCTACTCGATACTTGCGAGGCTAAAAAAGAGGGATGGGATGGGGGTCGGCTCGGGAAAAATCTTGAAAGAGACAACAAAGCGCCCATGTACCATCGCCCATTGTAAAACTTACTCAGGGGAGATAATTCCAAGTATAGGCCTTAAAAGTTTACTATGATATTTCTTGTAAAAGTAAAAAACAAGTAAACGTATATAAAAACGAAGTTTCTAGTATTATATTCTTTTTTATTATTTGTAGGATACAAGATAGTACAGAATACAAATTCAACCACTATCACTAACACATATTAACATTGAAAAATGTTTAATGGATTTCGGCGGGTCCCTAACTAATGCCGCAAAGAGGAAACGCGCATCATGAAAGCCACTTCATATGTAGCGGCTCTCGTGCTATGGTCTTTGTTGTTTTTTTAAAAAGAATTTTGCCGGCGACAGCGTGGGGAAATAGAACTCGGCCTTGACGATGGTTAAAAAATACAACTATAAATAAAAAGAAATGTTATCCCCATCCCCTGCCCCATCCGCCACAGTACACTTTGGAGGATCGGTCAAACAGTTACATGTCCTCTATTTAGCTATCAAAGGGGGCAACGAGTCAAATGTGTCATTCAAATTTGAAGCGTTGCCTATATTTTACACTGTATTTTGTGTAATGGATTTTATTTTTTTGCTGAAGAGCGTGGTATAGTGACTGTAAAATAAAGATAATCGTACCGCAGCTACAGTGTTTTTCTTTTACAAACTAAATATCAAGGCAAAAATGCACGAAAATTAAATTCAAAATTTTAAAAAATACTAATTATGGTCAGCAGTGGGCCCCTAAACGGCCTGCCCCCCCCCCTACCCGCATTGCGGGGTCTGGGGGCACTGTAGTTCCGCCCCTGTATAGATCTTTTGGTTGTTTTTAGGCTTAAAAGCTAGATCATTGTATCTTAAAATTTTTTAACTTTAATGTATTTAGTGTTAATAACTAATGTTCCATTAACACGTGTACTAATTATAAAACGATTAATAATATAAAGACGAGTCTTACCTTCCTTGTTGTGTGAATTAGATTCGTCAACGAAATACTTCATCAGGTAAATGAACAACTACTGACTAGTGTCTTTAACAAAATGTGCAGAATTGGTCAGTTTACAGTTCAGTATTTCATAAACGGTTCGTTAATCTATGCATTACATCTTATTGTAAGAGTAAGGGTGTGGTGAGGGGTAGAGGTTAGGGGGATGGGGGGAGGGTAGAGAGTTGGGAAGGCTCAAGGGAAGGGGACAAGAAAGCGCCGATGAACATCTACATCAATAGTGCCGACTTTTTCCGGTCGTCTAGAAGACCAGGATAGTCGCCGCAACATTTCCCCAGCCCGATTTTCAAAGCTTTTTTGTTCTCCTAATCGACGCCACTAAAAAAGAACGGTAGGCTGCGTCTTTGAAGTTGTCTATATGTCTGGCGGTCTCTCGAGCAATAGTCTGTGCATTTTTCTCAAAGACGTTTGCCGACTATCGTGTTTGTTTGTAACTGTAGAAGAAAGATAACTCAACATCCACCTATTTTTTTTATTAAATTTTAAAAAAATAATTTTTTTTTTTGTAATAATTTAGCCAGGATTTTTGGGCCCCCAATCGGTCTGGGCCCCCCCGCATTGCGGGGTCTGGCGGCACTGTAGTTCCGCCCCTGCATACTTCATACTAATTTTTTTTTACATATCTTATAAATATTACTATACGCACATTTCATTACATTTAATTTATCGTAAGTTGATTTGGACTTTCTGAATGTGTAATACATAAAAGTATGAACAAGTTCCATACAGATACATATTTGTGACTTTTTCCCTGTGACTTTTTTTTCCTACAATTGAATAAAATATGCTAAAATGGAGTTTTACCTATTATTCAAGTCAACGAAATTCAAAGTTAATCTAGCCTACTTATTTATGTTATGTTAAATCTGATCATATTATTATGCACATATTTTCTTTTATAGTTATGCTGTAGGCCTGTACACTGTATACTCACTCGTTAGTATGCCCATCAGTAGAATATTTTTATATTTGGCTCAACTGGCCGTCTTCATATCTGGCATTATTGACAAGAAATAAACAAATCTTAGCCTAGTATTCTTAGTTTGCCCAAGCTAGCCGTAGATTTACGAAATGGGGATCCTAAATGTTGTAGGGCTACTACTAATTTATCCATCCTCACTTTTTGTCTTTAAATTGGTATCCGCAGAACAGTGCAAGTTTATTTCACCATGTACTTGTTCAACACCTTCTTATGATATATCGTTAGATCCTTTAATGGTTTTAAGAAAAAAGTAAGTTAAAATAATACTATTACTATTATTTTTATTAAAAAAAAATGTTCAGGTCAGCTGATCTGATGCTAGTCACATGATCATTTTTTTGACAGTTTAAGGGGGTGTTATATAGTTATATAGGCCTAATGATGATATATTCAATATTTTTATACTTATAAATAATATTAAACTTAATAAGGCCAAGTTTTGACCATTAATATTGCTTCAATGTTAAAATTGCTCCAGTGGTCAGTCTACCTTGATCTTCTCTCATGTTTAAAGGACATTTACTTAGATATGTTACATATTATCATCATTATGATATTACCAACAAACAAGTTATGAGAAATTATTTAACATTATTTTTTCCAGTCAATCACTTTACGTTGCAGACTCAAAATATGGATACTACTTGCAACCATGCAACAAGAATGCAACAGAATGTGGTCCTGATTTAAGCATGACTGTAAGTGAAGGTTTAGCCAAACATAAGTTTGCTAATTAATTTAGATGGTCACCTGCAATGACATCAAACAGTTGGGGAGGGTGAACTTCAGATTTGAGAGACAATGTGCAGAGTGTAAAGTAAGAGTTTAAAAATTTGATATAGTATATGTTTTATTTATTAGGAACTTCTTTTTAACGTGTTGGGGGGGGGGGGGGGGTTGGGTAAAATCAACTAAAAATTTGTAATGTCATTTATGAAAGAACCGTATTTTGTCAGATAACCACCCATTTTTATGCAGTTAGTATTGCCAATCATCCTTAGACTCTTGCTAGGTTAAGAAAGACAGTTGATGTAGTTATTTATAAGGTAAAACAATCTATATATATAATTCTCTTCTGGGAGACGCTAGAAAACAAGCTGTAAACGCGCTCCCTACCATCCCCACCCCTACATGGTCTTAGTGAGCTGTGGTTCACGCTATGTTTACCTTCGTGGAGTCGGGTTTAGTGACGGCTATTAGGGGCAGATAATTTAGTTTGAAACGATTTTAAACGGCGGGGGGGGGGGGGGGGGGCGGTTATGGTCCTTAACGAGCTACTTATAGTGTTTTAAAGAAATATTTTCAGTGTCAGCATTGGTACTGTCGAATTCACAAATTATGAATTACTGAAAAGTAGAAAAAACAACAACTAAATAGCGCCGTATGTTATGCCGCGGGCCGGCTCGTTAAAAATAAAATACTTAATACTAAGGTCTCTATTATATCTATTATGGATATGGTCAGTGTTAAATATTTGTACTCATTACAATGGGACGGAGTGGTCTAGCAGTAGAGAGCTGGACTGCCAATCCGTAAGTCTCGAGTTCGAATCCAGGTTCAAGTCAATAGAACGTCCCTTAGTCCACCCAACTCTGATGGGTACCTAACTCATGTTAGGGAAAGTAAAGGCAGCTGGGCATAGTGCTGACCACACTATCTCTTCATATGCCGAGGTCACAGAAACAAGTGAACTCTACTTCACTTGCCCTATAGACCATCAGGTTTGAAAGGGAACTTTACGTTTTACACATTACAAAAACAAAATTTGTCATGTTTTACTAGAACAAATATGTTGATATTCTTGGTTCTGCTCACACCAGAAGTTGTCAAAGGTTTTTAATTAATACTTTAATTATGGGTGCTGAGAGGTCCGTAAAAAACATTTGTTATAATTTTCACTTAATTACAACTGGAAAATTAGTTAAACAAATTTAACACTGAATTAACTCTAACATTTTAGGCCTGTCAAGTTGACAATAACACACCACCAAATAAATATGGCATAGGCAAGGTAGATGGTAACACTGCTGAGTCATCAGATACCAATAATTTTACTCTAAAGAATACTTTTGGGACTAACACTGATACTAGGTAAGCAGTTTTTCTTTATTTTATTTTTCTACTTGTTCATTTGTACTTTTATTGTTATCCAAACTAAAGTGAGTCATCTTATAATTAATATATATTTTAAAACAGAAAGTGCAAGCAGCCTGTAAATTTAGGACCATTATGACTAAAAATTAAATCCTAGTTCTAGATTTCTAGCATTGCATTAACACACAAGGATATAAAAAATAGGAAGGAAAAAATACAAAGCCAACTTGTTTGTCACCATGTTTTGTCTAAAGCACCATTTGTTCAAACACACTTAAGTGCCTAGTTGTAAGATAAGTTGCATTTCAAGGCTGACTTAAATTTTAAGATTGTTGCAATAGCAGATAAACTCACACTGAATTTAGAGTGTTAAAGTTTATACTTAAGCTTATCAAAAGTAGTCACTAAGTTTTGATAGATAATAGATTTTGGGTTAAATGTTACACAGCTTAAACTGAACAAATTACAGATTTAAGCAATTCTACTTCCAGTTTTAGGGTGGTGTACAGTACAGATGTTTTACATTTTATGTTGAACATAACTGTTCTTAAACTGGTACATTGTGGTAGGTGGTCAGACTAAGAGGTTGTATTCCTGTTAAAATAGTAATAGGGTTCTAGTTAAGGATGATTCTGGGAGGAAGTGTAATTCAGAATGAAGTCATTTTAACCCACACAAGTACAATTTATTTTTCTATATTGAATTGGCTGAAGGAAGGTTAGATAGTTAACTGTGACTTTATGTGTGGTAAAAAGATTAACCATAGTGTCAAAGTTATGTTGATCAGATAATATGATGTTGTGGATTAACCCTTTGAGCCCTCCAGGCCGGTAAACCGGCTTCAACATTAAACATATATGTCTGAAAAGCCGGTTTTCCGGCCCGATGATCTAGCGTCATATTTCTAGCAGCCGGGTATACCGTCTAATTAAATATAATTAGCGGAAGACTGACTAAAACTGCGCATATGTCTTTTGAGTGCGGGATTATGATTTTAAAAATTGATTTTTAGGAAAAGTGAAAGTGTTTACATTTCATAGCAATGCCGCCGAAACGAAAAGCTGAGCCACAGCCGTCGAATTCATCACAAAAAGTTGGTGCAAAAGATGAAGCAAAAGACCAAAATATCAACAAAAGAAGAATGACTGCATCTCAGGCAATACAACTACTTATTGATTCTGATGAAGAAGATAATATTCCTGGTCTATATTTTGATGATAGTGACGTTGAATTTGAGACTGAACACAGTGACATTGAAATTGACAGTGACAATGAAACTGATCAAGTACGTTTTGATGCACGTGGTGTCAAGGACAAAGATTTGCCGAAACGGAAACAAAATGTTTACTGTTGCAAAACATGCGAAGTTTTTCTTTGCATCGGGTCTGGCAGTGATAACTGTTTTGAAAGTTATCACACAAAAGTGGCCCTCTGGCGTTGAACTAGTATGGCCAGCAATCAATAATAACAAAACAATTACTAAATGTAAATTGGTTTCTTCTATGTTCTATCAAAACAATAATTATACGTTCGTTTTATATACATTGTTCTGTTCAAACATTGTAAAAAAAAAATAAAGAATTTCAGAATCTTGCTGCATTGTTGTTTGGCTTGATTATCTTAAACGGTTCAAAAGTTATCGGCAAAGTTAGAAGCAGATAAGTCAAAATTGGTTTGGCCCTGGGAGCTCAGGAAATGGGAGAAATTAGGCCAGGGAGACCAGGGCTCAAAGGGTTAAGCTTATTTCAAGTATCAATCACAACCATTTACTGTATATTCATCCATAATACTAAATACTGTCATGTACCCAAACACTCACTTGTTGCAGCCCTGATTTTTTGATATTGTAAACAGTGATCCTGTAATACACTCTGTTCAGTAACTGATAGCATATTTACACAATAATTATAAGTGCAAGTAATACAAATTTCATTTATTCCAGGACTTCACTGCTTACAATTGTATGTAGCTCAAAACAAGATGAATTTATATTTGAAAAGGAGGACCCTACCAATACCTATGTAAGCTATGCTTTAGAAACTTAACTTTATAATTATTTTATTGGTATGTAATTTATATAGTACGCTCCAACATTGTTTGCATATTGATACTTTAGAAAATAGTTCAACACTGTTTATAAAAAAATGGTATTTCAATTAATTTTAACCACCATCATCAGCATTTTACATTAAACACCCGCTTTGCCTGCCCATCCAGCAAAAGTTCTAGTGGATTGAGTGTTGGATCCATTCTTGTTATTTTGTAAGTGTTTGTTGTAGCCTTCACATTTTAATTAGATAATTTCCAGTTTTCATTTATATTGATAATGCTAGTCTATAAATTCCAATTAGGGTAGTCCACATAAGACAGTAAAGGTTATCTGACACATTAACTTTAAATGGAAGGAATGATAGTTTAGCAAGATGGTGTCTTTATTTTGTGACAATATGGGAGTGGGGGCACAATTATCTCATGAAAATTATTTTGGACAACAGCTCATAATCTGTTATCTACATTAATTTTAACTAAAGATAATAATGAAAACAATCTTTTATTCAGTTGAATAAAATAACTCGCCTTATCAGTGAAAACAAGTAAGAATAATTGTTTTCATCATCCAGAAGTTTGTGTTTGTCTACTATGACTAAGTTTATTGAAAAAGAGTCTAGTTTCTATAATAATGTACTGTATGTAAAATGCTGTAGGTTATTTTTTCCTGCCACAGGTTTTTTGTGTTTATACTGGTGTACCTGATTGGTGGTGTCTTGTTCCTCAAATATGTGAGGAAAGCCCAGGGTGCAGAGGTCATTCCCAATGTTGAATTTTGGAAAGAACTCCCATCCCTCATTAAGGTGAGTTGTCACTTGGGTTGATTATTTTTGTTTAAGGCCACAGTATAGAACATTGAAATGATTCAACCACATCATGATGTCATGAGCCTTGCTGTTTATGTATTAAGGGCACAATGTGAAGTTTTTGTCTGGCCTATGTTAGGGTGAAGATAATTTAACCACCACTGTTGGAGAAACTAGCCCAGAGCTGAGTTGCCTGGTTGGCTCTTGTCAGTGGCCTTTGTTTGTGGGACAACTGGCAAATCACTACTAAGCAATCTTAGAATTATTTATTTTACTTTGTAAATTAATTAAGATCAACTATTTATCTCGTTTGTATAATGAGAAGAATTAAGTTGAAAAATGCATCAATACATTTTCTTGATTCTTAAATTCTTTACATACATTTTTTAGAGAAGTTTTGACTGTTTTAGATGTTTATTAAGTTAATTATGCTACATTTATTAAAACAAATCAGTGAATGCATACAAATATCTTCAATTTTTCCACAGGATGGTGTCTTGTTTACCTGCCGCGGATGTAAAGCAGAGACGACATATGAGAAAATTTGAAAAGGATATCTGTCATGCAGGTTTAGGGCTCAGTATCAGTCAGCTGTGACTAACAGAAAGAATCAGTTTCACAACAAGGGCCAAAAGGCTCATGACTTTTTTGTGTATGTTAGAAAGTATGGCTGACGTATAATTGTAATTGAACTATGCAAGTAAAGGTCTCTTTGAAAGTTGGATGAATGCTATATGAAACAAAATTGTTGCCTTTTTATGCTTATATGCATGTATTGAAAATATATGTCACTCATAAAATGATCTTGAATGAGACCTATAAGTATTCTATTTATCCTGAATGATCTTGAATGAAACCTATAAATGTTCTATTAATTTATCCTAAATGATATTGAATGAGATCTATAAATATTCTATTCATTTATCCTGAATGATCTTGAATGAAACCTAAATGTTCTATTCATCTAACGCTTTGTCTTGAAACATGACTGTCACTAAATTACACAATGATATTGAATAGGATCAATACATACTCTATTTACCAATTGCCTAGCAACTGTCAAGGAATCTCTGGTCTTTAATTTATTCAAAATTGTTCTCTATAGTTTTTGACAAGAAAGATCTTTAAAAGCCATCTGTTATACACAACTGTAATCTCAGCATTTATCACTTTTCATTATGTACATTAAGTATATGATTAATATAACTCATTTACTATAATCTGCTTTGATCCAATATTTATATTGTTTGTTTTTTGTCATCCATTTGCAATGGAGCATATATTTAGAGTCTTGTTTTCTTTAAGTAGTAAATTAACAGATATTATGTTAAATCAGATTTTTTTGTTTTGTTTCCTGTCCTCTATTTTGGTGGCCCAAAATTGAGCATAATGGAAATGTAGATGCGGCTTCATAGCAATCTGGTTTATAAAAGTAAACATGATCTCTATAAGCAATACATGTTTTATTTTGTTTTCTATCTTTTGATTCTGTATTTTTTCAGAAATCATAGTTTTTATTTGGTTCTTTATTTTTTCACACCAAAATGTTATGATTTTCTTTAATTCTGAATTTTTCACAGGTTATTAAGATGTATTTTTGTTTGGTTCTGTATTTTTACAGTTTTTTTTTCTTAAAACATAAGAATCACCTGTTGTAGCTTTACCAATGTAAAGCTAAAGCTTACGTGAAGAGTTTGAACAAAAATTTGTGTAATAATATCTGTTTACAATGGATGTGTGTGGCAAGGAAGTTTAAGTTCTGTCTTCTATTTGAGATCATGATGTTTTAAAGGTTTTTAATTTACCATATTTGCCTTGTATAATTATCACATTTATTTTTGCCACGTTGTCAACTAAATCTAAAAAAATTTACCTCCCGAGTTGCAGATCTGAACCTACTCAGATTTACTAGATGTCTAAATCTCATTTACAACACTAAATTAAGTGAAGTTTTTCAGTGAAAGTAATTAGCTAACTCAGATTTACTAGATATCTAAATCTCATTTACAACACTAAATTAAGTGAAGTTTTTCAGTGAAAGTAATTAGCTAACTCAGATTTACTAGATATCTAAATCTCATTTACAACACTAAATTAAGTGAAGTTTTTCAGTGAAAGTAATTAGCTAACTCAGATTTACTAGATATCTAAATCTCATTTACAACACTAAATTAAGTGAAGTTTTTCAGTGAAAGTAATTAGCTAACTCAGATTTACTAGATATCTAAATCTCATTTACAACACTAAATTAAGTGAAGTTTTTCAGTGAAAGTAATTAGCTAACTCAGATTTACTAGATATCTAAATCTCATTTACAACACTAAATTAAGTGAAGTTTTTCAGTGAAAGTAATTAGCTAACTCAGATTTACTAGATATCTAAATCTCATTTACAACACTAAATTAAGTGAAGTTTTTCAGTGAAAGTAATTAGCCAACTCAGATTTACTAGATATCTAAATCTCATTTATAACACTAAATTAAGTGAAGTTTTTCAGTGAAAGTAATTAGCTAACTCAGATTTACTAGATTTCTAAATCTTATTTACAACACTAAATTAAACTCAGATGTTTTAGATGTTGTCCAGATTACGCTAGTTTAGGTGAAGTTTTTCTGTGAAGGTAACAAATTCAGATTGACTAGATTTCCAACAATAAATTAGGTGAAGTTTTTTTTACTTAATTAATGTAATTAGCCAACTCAGATATGGTTGTAATTAAATTTGGCTGTGTCGCTGCATTCACTTGTCTTACTGTGATTGGTGCTCATCATCAGAACCCAGAAAATTAAATAATCACAAGCGGTTTCAGGGTAAACAGTTTTAAAAACAATTTAAATATAAAACAGTTATATTATTCTGTATGATAATTTAGTTTGATATTTTTTAAGTTAAATTTTAGTGAAGTAATGGCCAGTCAGGTTTTGCCCCCATGTTTTACAATTTTGTGATTAGAAATATTACTAGTATTGATTCTTTTTTGTATTATTACATTCCCTTACACTTTCTGTAACTTTTTTTCTTTCTTACTGATACTAACATATTTTTTGATGAATCATTTTCTAAGAGCATAATTAAATTTCAGTATGAAAAAAACTAGTTTTGAATTTGCTTTAAAAAAAGAAAATTGTTTGTGGTTGACTTGCTAAGATGTTGGTGAAAAATGATTTCTTCTTTGTTCTTAATTGTAGTGTTAGAAGAGATACCCTCCAACACAACCAAGTATTACATGTCAACTTTTTATGCATCATATAGGCAGTGACTCCAATTTCAACCTACTTTTCTTTTGGGATTTGCTTTCATGGCCTTTGTTGAACCAAGGCAGCAGTTGTTTGATTTTGGAGTTGTCTCTCCTAGATGAGTGGCCTCATATCGAGCCTCATCTCTCCAGGTTTTTAACTTGGGACTTTTCTGTTCAGCAACCATGATCTTAACCGACCCGATTACACCCACCTCCAAAAAATGATGTAGTAAGTTTCTGTATTTTCACAATGTTGCTTTATGCAACTAAATAAAATCTATGTCACAGCTTTAACAAAATATCATAACCAGTGGTTATAAAAACTTGTTGTTTTCCCAAATAAAAACAGTGTCTAAGGCAACTTAACACCCAAATAAATAGTTTGTCAGTGAGAATTGTTTTGTCACCATAGACAAATATTACAGCCTGGATATAAGCCTTCACACAAGCCTTAGCCCAGCAACATGTCTGGATATAAGCCTCCACACTAGCCTCAGCCCAACAACATGTCTGGATATAAGCCTCCACACAAGCCTCAGCCCAGCAACATGTCTGGATATAAGCCTCCACACAAGCCTCAGCCCAGCAACATGTCTGGATATAAGCCTCCACACTAGCCTCAGCCCAACAACATGTCTGGATATAAGCCTCAGCCCAGCAACATGTCTGGATATAAGCCTCCACACTAGCCTCAGCCCAGCAACATGTCTGGATATAAGCCTCCACACTAGCCTCAGCCCAACAACATGTCTGGATATAAGCCTCCACACAAGCCTCAGCCCAACAACATGTCTGGATATAAGCCTCCACACTAGCCTCAGCCCAACAACATGTCTGGATATAAGCCTCCACACAAGCCTCAGCCCAACATGTCTGGATATAAGCCTCCACACAAGCCTCAGCCCAACATGTCTGGATATAAGCCTCCACACTAGCCTCAGCCCAGCAACATGTCTGGATATAAGCCTCCACACTAGCCTCAGCCCAACAACATGTCTGGATATAAGCCTCCACACAAGCCTCAGCCCAACATGTCTGGATATAAGCCTCCACACTAGCCTCAGCCCAGCAACATGTCTGGATATAAGCCTCCACACAAGCCTCAGCCCAACAACATGTCTGGATATAAGCCTCCACACTAGCCTCAGCCCAGCAACATGTCTGGATATAAGCCTCCACACTAGCCTCAGCCCAACAACATGTCTGGATATAAGCCTCCACACAAGCCTCAGCCCAGCAACATGTCTGGATATAAGCCTCCACACTAGCCTCAGCCCAACAACATGTCTGGATATAAGCCTCCACACAAGCCTCAGCCCAGCAACATGTCTGGATATAAGCCTCCACACTAGCCTCAGCCCAGCAACATGTCTGGATATAAGCCTCCACACTAGCCTCAGCCCAACAACATGTCTGGATATAAGCCTCCACACTAGCCTCAGCCCAGCAACATGTCTGGATATAAGCCTCCACACTAGCCTCAGCCCAGCAACATGTCTGGATATAAGCCTCAGCCCAGCAACATGTCTGGATATAAGCCTCCACACTAGCCTCAGCCCAACAACATGTCTGGATATAAGCCTCCACACAAGCCTCAGCCCAGCAACATGTCTGGATATAAGCCTCCACACACGCCTCAGCCCAGCTATCTGTCTGGATATAAGCCTCCACACTAGCCTCAGCCCAACAACATGTCTGGATATAAGCCTCCACACAAGCCTCAGCCCAGCAACATGTCTGGATATAAGCCTCCACACTAGCCTCAGCCCAACATGTCTGGATATAAGCCTCCACACTAGCCTCAGCCCAGCAACATGTCTGGATATAAGCCTCCACACTAGCCTCAGCCCAACAACATGTCTGGATATAAGCCTCCACACTAGCCTCAGCCCAACAACATGTCTGGATATAAGCCTCAGCCCAGCAACATGTCTGGATATAAGCCTCCACACTAGCCTCAGCCCAACAACATGTCTGGATATAAGCCTCCACACTAGCCTCAGCCCAACAACATGTCTGGATATAAGCCTCCACACTAGCCTCAGCCCAGCAACATGTCTGGATATAAGCCTCCACACAAGCCTCAGCCCAACAACATGTCTGGATATAAGCCTCCACACAAGCCTCAGCCCAACAACATGTCTGGATATAAGCCTCAGCCCAGCAACATGTCTGGATATAAGCCTCCACACTAGCCTCAGCCCAACAACATGTCTGGATATAAGCCTCCACACTAGCCTCAGCCCAGCAACATGTCTGGATATAAGCCTCCACACTAGCCTCAGCCCAACAACATGTCTGGATATAAGCCTCCACACTAGCCTCAGCCCAACAACATGTCTGGATATAAGCCTCCACACAAGCCTCAGTCCAGCAACATGTCTGGATATAAGCCTCCACACAAGCCTCAGCCCAACAACATGTCTGGATATAAGCCTCCACACTAGCCTCAGTCCAGCAACATGCCTGGATATAAGCCTCAGCCCAGCAACATGCCTGGATATAAGCCTCCACACTAGCCTCAGCCCAACAACATGTCTGGATATAAGCCTCCACACTAGCCTCAGTCCAGCAACATGCCTGGATATAAGCCTCCACACTAGCCTCAGCCCAACATGTCTGGATATAAGCCTCAGCCCAGCAACATGCCTGGATATAAGCCTCCACACAAGCCTCAGCCTAGCAACATATGTGTTAAGTTGATGAAGTACTGACTAAATCAAACGTACACTTATCATTTGGTTAACTACACACAGCCTTGGTGACAAACTTTGTTTTCTAAATAAAAGAATTTCTAACCAACATAAGTTGTGTATTGAACAACACAACAGCTTTGTTGACAGTGACGGTGTTTGTTTCTAAGTAAAATAATTCTAAATAAAATAAGACCACTATAAAGTTGTAATCATTTATTCTTGTTTCTTACCATTGATATTTATGTTTATCAGATCTATAGCCCCGTAACAACTGCATTAAAACATGTTCTTTAGCTGACCTTTCTAATTAATCAGTAACAGACTAGAACACATTATCCAAGTCGTTTGACGGCCATTAGTCACTCAGCGCCGCATCTAGACCAAACGAGGACACCATTGTTTACTTTTTGACCCCGCCTTCACCCCATTATGGACAAACACGACCCCGCCTTCACCCCATTATGGGCATACACGACCCCACGGGACCGTACTGTGGGTGCACGTCAGACGCGTTGAGACTGATACACAGGTAGTTGTGCTGGCACGGGCAGAGGTCCGTCTTATTCCAGCTGTACTCCGGCTCGTACCCGCCGTTCTCTGGCACCCGTGTGTAGCATCTGTCGAACGTGCTGCCGGTGATGCTGCACCGTCCGTGCAGGCAGCAGATGCCCCGGGTGCAGTCAGACGCCTTGGTGCACGGGATCGAGCTCGGCTGGGGTGGGGGGAGGTTGGGTTTGTACTGGGATCCAGTTTGTTGGCCGTAAACCAGGACCTGTTGAGAGAATAAAATAAAGTCTCCTGTTAGTATCTTAGTACTACAGTTACTACCCATCATACGACACAACAACATTACAGTTATCACTTAACCTGCTCCCCAACCAACCAGCTACCCTACCCAACCACCCAGCTACCCTACCCAACCACACAGCTACCCTACTCAACCACCCAGCTACCCAACTCAACCAACCAGCTACCCAACTCAACCACCCAGCTACCCTACTCAACCACCCAGCTACCCTACTCAACCACCCAGCTAACCACCTTAACCACCCAGCTACCAAACTCAACCACCTAGCTACCCTACCCAACCATCCATCTACCCTACTCAACCACCAAGCTACCCTACTCAACCACCCAGCTACCCTACTCAACCACCCAGCTACCCTACTCAACCATCCAGCTACCCAACTAAACCACCCAGCTACCCTACTCAACCACCCAGCTACCCTACTCAACCACCCAGCTACCCTACCTAACCACCCAGCTACCCTACTGAACCACCCAGCTACCCTACCTAACCACCCAGCTACCCTACTCAACCACCCAGCTACCCTACTCAACCACCCAGCTACCCTACTCAACCATCCAGCTACCCAACTCAACCACCCAGCTACCCCACTCAACCACCCAGCTACCCTACTCAACCACCCAGCTACCCTACTCAACCACCCAGCTACCCTACTCAACCATCCAGCTACCGACTCAACCACCCAGCTACCCTACTCAACCACCCAGCTACCCTACTCAACCACCCAGCTACCCTACTCAACCACCCAGCTACCATACAACTACCTTACTCAACGACCCAGCTACCCTACTCAACCACCCAGCTACCCTACTCAACCACCCAGCCACCCTACCTAACCACCCAACTACCCTACTCAACCACCCAGCTACCCAACCAACCAGCTACCCTACTCAACCACCCAGCTACCCAACCAACCAGCTACTCTACTCAACCACCCAGCTACCCTACCTAACCACCCAGCTACCCTACTCAACCACCCAGCTACCCTACCTAACCACCCAGCTACCCTACTCAACCACACAGCTACCCTACTCAACCACCCAGCTACCCTACCCAACCACCCAGCTACCCTACTCAACCACCCAGCTACCCTACTCAACAACCCAGCTACCCTACTCAACCAACCAGCTACCCTACTCAACCACCCAGCTACCCTACTCAACCACCCAGCTACCCTACTCAACCACCCAGCTACCCTACTCAACCACCCAGCTACCCTAAACCACCCAGCTACCCTACTCAACCACCCAGCTACTCTACTCAACCACCCAGCTACCCTACTCAACGACCCAGCTACCCTACTCAACCACCCAGCTACCCTACTCAACCATCCAGCTACCCTACTCAACCAACCCAGCTACCCTAATCAACCACCCAGCTACCCTACTCAACCACCCAGCTACCCTACTCAACAACCCAGCTACCCAACCAACCAGCTACCCTACTCAACCACCCAGCTACCCTACTCAACCACCCAGCTACCCTACTCAACCACCCAGCTACCCTACTCAACCATCCAGCTACCCAACTCAACCATCCAGCTACCCTACTCAACCACCCAGCTACCCTACTCAACCACCCAGCTACCCTACTCAACCATCCAGCTACCCAACTCAACCACCCAGCTACCCTACTCAACCACCCAGCTACCCTACTCAACCACCCAGCTACCCTACTCAACCACCCAGCTACCATACAACTACCTTACTCAACGACCCAGCTACCCTACTCAACCACCCAGCTACCCTACCCAACCACCCAGCTACCCTACTCAACCACCCAGCTACCCTACTCAACAACCCAGCTACCCTACTCAACCAACCAGCTACCCTACTCAACCACCCAGCTACCCTACTCAACCACCCAGCTACCCTACTCAACCACCCAGCTACCTTACTCAACCACCCAGCTACCCTAAACCACCCAGCTACCCTACTCAACCACCCAGCTACTCTACTCAACCACCCAGCTACCCTACTCAACGACCCAGCTACCCTACTCAACCACCCAGCTACCCTACTCAACCATCCAGCTACCCTACTCAACCAACCCAGCTACCCTAATCAACCACCCAGCTACCCTACTCAACCACCCAGCTACCCTACTCAACAACCCAGCTACCCAACCAACCAGCTACCCTACTCAACCACCCAGCTACCCTACTCAACCACCCAGCTACCCTACTCAACCACCCAGCTACCCTACTCAACCATCCAGCTACCCAACTCAACCATCCAGCTACCCTACTCAACCACCCAGCTACCCTACTCAACCACCCAGCTACCCTACTCAACCATCCAGCTACCCAACTCAACCACCCAGCTACCCTACTCAACCACCCAGCTACCCTACTCAACCACCCAGCTACCCTACTCAACCACCCAGCTACCATACAACTACCTTACTCAACGACCCAGCTACCCTACTCAACCACCCAGCTACCCTACCTAACCACCCAGCTACCCTACTCAACCACCCAGCTACCCAACCAACCAGCTACCCAACTCAACCACCCAGCTACCCTACCTAACCACCCAGCTACCCTACCTAACCACCCATCTACCCTACTCAACCACCCAGCTACCCTACTCAACCACCCAGCCACCCTACCTAACCACCCAACTACCCTACTCAACCACCCAGCTACCCAACCAACCAGCTACCCTACTCAACCACCCAGCTACCCAACCAACCAGCTACCCTACTCAACCACCCAGCTACCCTACCTAACAACCCAGCTACCCTACTCAACCACCCAGCTACCCTACCTAACCACCCAGCTACCCTACTCAACCACACAGCTACCCTACTCAACCGACCAGCTACCCTACCTAACCACCCAGCTACCCTACTCAACCACCCAGCTACCCTACTCAACCACCCAGCTACCCTACTCAACCACCCAGCTACCCTACTCAACAACCCAGCTACCCTACTCAACCAACCAGCTACCCTACTCAACCACCCAGCTACCCTACTCAACCACCCAGCTACCCTACTCAACCACCCAGCTACCTTACTCAACCACCCAGCTACCCTAAACCACCCAGCTACCCTACTCAACCACCCAGCTACTCTACTCAACCACCCAGCTACCCTACTCAACGACCCAGCTACCCTACTCAACCACCCAGCTACCCTACTCAACCATCCAGCTACCCTACTCAACCAACCCAGCTACCCTAATCAACCACCCAGCTACCCTACTCAACCACCCAGCTACCCTACTCAACAACCCAGCTACCCAACCAACCAGCTACCCTACTCAACCACCCAGCTACCCTACTCAACCACCCAGCTACCCTACTCAACCACCCAGCTACCCTACTCAACCATCCAGCTACCCAACTCAACCATCCAGCTACCCTACTCAACCACCCAGCTACCCTACTCAACCACCCAGCTACCCTACTCAACCATCCAGCTACCCAACTCAACCACCCAGCTACCCTACTCAACCACCCAGCTACCCTACTCAACCACCCAGCTACCCTACTCAACCACCCAGCTACCATACAACTACCTTACTCAACGACCCAGCTACCCTACTCAACCACCCAGCTACCCTACCTAACCACCCAGCTACCCTACTCAACCACCCAGCTACCCAACCAACCAGCTACCCAACTCAACCACCCAGCTACCCTACCTAACCACCCAGCTACCCTACCTAACCACCCATCTACCCTACTCAACCACCCAGCTACCCTACTCAACCACCCAGCCACCCTACCTAACCACCCAACTACCCTACTCAACCACCCAGCTACCCAACCAACCAGCTACCCTACTCAACCACCCAGCTACCCAACCAACCAGCTACCCTACTCAACCACCCAGCTACCCTACCTAACAACCCAGCTACCCTACTCAACCACCCAGCTACCCTACCTAACCACCCAGCTACCCTACTCAACCACACAGCTACCCTACTCAACCACCCAGCTACCCTACCTAACCACCCAGCTACCCTACTCAACCACCCAGCTACCCTACTCAACCACCCAGCTACCCTACTCAACCACCCAGCTACCCTACTCAACCACCCAGCTACCCTACTCAACCACCCAGCTACCCTACTCAACCACCCAGCTACCCTACTCAACCACCCAGCTACCCTAAACCACCCAGCTACCCTACTCAACCACCCAGCTACCCTACTCAACGACCCAGCTACCCTACTCAACCACCCAGCTACCCTACTCAACCACCCAGCTACCCTACTCAACCACCCAGCTACCCTACCCAACCACCCAGCTACCCTACTCAACCATCCAGCTACCCCACTCAACCACCCAGCTACCCAACTAAACCACCCAGCTACCCTACTCAACCACCCAGCTACCCTACTCAACCACCAAGCTACCCAACCAACCAGCTACCCTACTCAACCACCCAGCTACCCAACCAACCAGCTACCCTACTCAACCACCCAGCTACCCTACCTAACCACCCAGCTACCCTACCTAATCACCCAGCTACCCTACTCAACCACCCAGCTACCCTACTCAACCACCCAGCCACCCTACCTAACCACCCAACTACCCTACTCAACCACCCAGCTACCATACAACTACCTTACTCAACGACCCAGCTACCCTACTCAACCACCCAGCTACCCTACCTAACCACCCAGCTACCCTACTCAACCACCCAGCTACCCTACTCAACCACCCAGCCACCCTACCTAACCACCCAACTACCCTACTCAACCACCCAGCTACCCAACCAACCAGCTACCCTACTCAACCACCCAGCTACCCAACCAACCAGCTACTCTACTCAACCACCCAGCTACCCTACCTAACCACCCAGCTACCCTACTGAACCACCCAGCTACCCTACCTAACCACCCAGCTACCCTACTCAACCACACAGCTACCCTACTCAACCACCCAGCTACCCTACCCAACCACCCAGCTACCCTACTCAACCACCCAGCTACCCTACTCAACAACCCAGCTACCCTACTCAACCAACCAGCTACCCTACTCAACCACCCAGCTACCCTACTCAACCACCCAGCTACCCTACTCAACCACCCAGCTACCCTACTCAACCACCCAGCTACCCTAAACCACCCAGCTACCCTACTCAACCACCCAGCTACTCTACTCAACGACCCAGCTACCCTACTCAACGACCCAGCTACCCTACTCAACCACCCAGCTACCCTACTCAACCATCCAGCTACCCTACTCAACCAACCCAGCTACCCTAATCAACCACCCAGCTACCCTACTCAACCACCAAGCTACCATACAACTACCCTACTTAACCACCCAGCTACCCTACTCAACCACCCAGCTACCCAACCAACCAGCTACCCTACTCAACCACCCAGCTACCCTACTCAACCACCCAGCTACCCTACTCAACCACCCAGCTACCCTACTCAACCATCCAGCTACCCAACTCAACCATCCATCTACCCTACTCAACCACCCAGCTACCCTACTCAACCACCCAGGTACCCTACTCAACCACCCAGCTACCCTACTCAACCATCCAGCTACCCAACTCAACCACCCAGCTACCCTACTCAACCACCCAGCTACCCTACTCAACCACCCAGCTACCCTACTCAACCACCCAGCTACCATACAACTACCTTACTCAACGACCCAGCTACCCTACTCAACCACCCAGCTACCCTACCTAACCACCCAGCTACCCTACTCAACCACCCAGCTACCCAACCAACCAGCTACCCAACTCAACCACCCAGCTACCCTACCTAACCACCCAGCTACCCTACCTAACCACCCAGCTACCCTACTCAACCACCCAGCTACCCTACTCAACCACCCAGCCACCCTACCTAACCACCCAACTACCCTACTCAACCACCCAGCTACCCAACCAACCAGCTACCCTACTCAACCACACAGCTACCCTACCTAACCACACAGCTACCCTACTCAACCACCCAGCTACCCTACCTAACCACCCAGCTACCCTACTCAACCACCCAGCTACCCTACTCAACCACCCAGCTACCCTACTCAACCACCCAGCTACCCTACTCAACCACCCAGCTACCCTACTCAACCACCCAGCTACCCTACTCAACCACCCAGCTACCCTACTCAACCACCCAGCTACCCTAAACCACCCAGCTACCCTACTCAACCACCCAGCTACCCTACTCAACGACCCAGCTACCCTACTCAACGACCCAGCTACCCTACTCAACCACCCAGCTACCCTACCCAACCACCCAGCTACCCTACTCAACCATCCAGCTACCCCACTCAACCACCCAGCTACCCAACTAAACCACCCAGCTACCCTACTCAACCACCCAGCTACCCTACTCAACCACCCAGCTACCCAACCAACCAGCTACCCTACTCAACCACCCAGCTACCCAACCAACCAGCTACCCTACTCAACCACCCAGCTACCCTACCTAACCACCCAGCTACCCTACCTAATCACCCAGCTACCCTACTCAACCACCCAGCTACCCTACTCAACCACCCAGCCACCCTACCTAACCACCCAACTACCCTACTCAACCACCCAGCTACACAACCAACCAGCTACCCTACTCAACCACCCAGCTACTCAACCAACCAGCTACCCTACTCAACCACCCAGCTACCCAACCACCCAGCTACCCTACCTAACCACCCAGCTACCCTACTCAACCACACAGCTACCCTACTCAACCACCCAGCTACCTTACCTAACCACCCAGCTACCCTAATCAACCACCCAGCTACCCTACTCAACCACCCAGCTACCCTACTCAACCACCCAGCTACCCTACTCAACCACCCAGCTACCCTACTCAACCATCCAGCTACCGACTCAACCACCCAGCTACCCTACTCAACCACCCAGCTACCCTACTCAACCACCCAGCTACCCTACTCAACCACCCAGCTACCATACAACTACCTTACTCAACGACCCAGCTACCCTACTCAACCACCCAGCTACCCTACCTAACCACCCAGCTACCCTACTCAACCACCCAGCTACCCTACTCAACCACCCAGCCACCCTACCTAACCACCCAACTACCCTACTCAACCACCCAGCTACCCAACCAACCAGCTATCCTACTCAACCACCCAGCTACCCAACCAACCAGCTACTCTACTCAACCACCCAGCTACCCTACTCAACGACCCAGCTACCCTACTCAACCACCCAGCTACCCTACTCAACCATCCAGCTACCCTACTCAACCAACCCAGCTACCCTAATCAACCACCCAGCTACCCTACTCAACCACCCAGCTACCCTACTCAACCATCCAGCTACCCAACTCAACCACCCAGCTTATCTACTCAACCACCCAGCTACCCTACTCAACCACCCAGCTACCCTACTCAACCACCCAGCTACCATACAACTACCTTACTCAACTACCCAGCTACCCTACTCAACCACCCAGCTACCCTACCTAACCACCCAGCTACCCTACTCAACCACCCAGCTACCCAACCATCCAGCTACCCAACTCAACCACCCAGCTACCCTACTCAACCACCCAGCTACCCTACTCAACCACCCAGCTACCCTACTCAACCACCCAGCTACCATACAACTACCTTACTCAACGACCCAGCTACCCTACTCAACCACCCAGCTACCCTACCTAACCACCCAGCTACCCTACTCAACCACCCAGCTACCCAACCACCCAGCTACCCTACTCAACCACCCAGCTACCCTACCTAACCACCCAGCTACCCTACCTAACCACCCAGCTACCCTACTCAACCACCCAGCTACCCTACTCAACCACCCAGCCACCCTACCTAACCACCCAACTACCCTACTCAACCACCCAGCTACCCAACCAACCAGCTACCCTACTCAACCACCCAGCTACGCAACCAACCAGCTACCCTACTCAACCACCCAGCTACCGACTCAACCACCCAGCTACCCTACTCAACCACCCAGCTACCCTACTCAACCACCCAGCTACCCTACTCAACCACCCAGCTACCATACAACTACCTTACTCAACGACCCAGCTACCCTACTCAACCACCCAGCTACCCTACCTAACCACCCAGCTACCCTACTCAACCACCCAGCTACCCTACTCAACCACCCAGCCACCCTACCTAACCACCCAACTACCCTACTCAACCACCCAGCTACCCAACCAACCAGCTACCCTACTCAACCACCCAGCTACCCAACCAACCAGCTACTCTACTCAACCACCCAGCTACCCTACCTAACAACCCAGCTACCCTACTCAACCACCCAGCTACCCTACCTAACCACCCAGCTACCCTACTCAACCACACAGCTACCCTACTCAACCACCCAGCTACCCTACCTAACCACCCAGCTACCCTACTCAACCACCCAGCTACCCTACTCAACCACCCAGCTACCCTACTCAACCACCCAGCTACCCTACTCAACCACCCAGCTACCCTACTCAACCACCCAGCTACCCTACTCAACCACCCAGCTACCCTACTCAACCACCCAGCTACCCTAAACCACCCAGCTACCCTACTCAACCACCCAGCTACCCTACTCAACGACCCAGCTACCCTACTCAACGACCCAGCTACCCTACTCAACCACCCAGCTACCCTACCCAACCACCCAGCTACCCTACTCAACCATCCAGCTACCCCACTCAACCACCCAGCTACCCAACTAAACCACCCAGCTACCCTACTCAACCACCCAGCTACCCTACTCAACCACCCAGCTACCCAACCAACCAGCTACCCTACTCAACCACCCAGCTACCCAACCAACCAGCTACCCTACTCAACCACCCAGCTACCCTACCTAACCACCCAGCTACCCTACCTAATCACCCAGCTACCCTACTCAACCACCCAGCTACCCTACTCAACCACCCAGCCACCCTACCTAACCACCCAACTACCCTACTCAACCACCCAGCTACCTAACCACCCAGCTACCCTACTCAACCACCCAGCTACCCTACTCAACCACCCAGCTACCCTACCTAACCACCCAGCTACCCTACTCAACCACCCAGCTACCATACAACTACCCTACTCAACCACCCAGCTACCCTACTCAACCACCCAGCTACCCTACTCAACCACCCAGCTACCCTACTCAACCACCCAGCTACCCTACTCAACCACCCAGCTACCCTAACCAACCAGCTACCCTACCCAACCACCCAGCTATCCTACTCAACCACCCAGCTACCCTACTCAACCACCCAGCTACCCTACTCAACCAACCAGCTACCCTACTCAACCACCGAGTTACCCTACCCAACCACCCAGCTACCATACAACTACCCTACTCAACCACCCAACTACCCTAACCAACCACCAGCCACATTTTACAGTGGTAATTATGATTATACGGTTTGAATACAGTATGTTAATTTCTTATGACAGATAGACCTAAATGGTAATTATTTTTGCCTAAATGAAATCGTTGTTTCATGCCATCAGTCAACGTAGCATAATTTTTTTTTTCAAAGTTGTTTCTACGAAATAGTATAACAAATAGTATAAATTCCAAATCTAACACCATTTTCAACACGTTAAAATTACGTTTAAATTGAATGGAAAAATAAAAAACTTAACCCCTCCCCTTATTCCACTTAAAACATCATACCAGTAGCACACACAAAAAAAAAACCACGAATAAATATTTAAAAAATCAACGTATCTGTAGAAAACAATCAACTATCTATAAAGAGTTAAACCACTAATCACAACCACACGACTACACCACAAAAATGGTAAAAATAAAATCAACTTACCCCGAGCACACAAGACCAGATGACATAGAATGGGATGCTTGACATTTTGTCCACCTGCTTAGAGCCGTTAATTTCACCTGTGTGGCGACCTGAGAAAAACGATGTTTAAAAAGTTGGCTGAAGATCGTGGTCACAGGAAAAAAAAAACCTTTTATAATAAATGACAGCCTTTCTTCTATAATCCACTCAAAAACACATGACGCAGCCAGGGCGGGGGGGGGGGGGGGGGGGGGGCGGGTGTGTGTGTGTGCGTGTTAACCTAGAAATGGAATTTGTTGCTGTCAAGAGTTTGTTTTGTTCCCGTGTATGACAACAAAAAGTGTGTTCGCACTGTTAGAACACCAGACACGTACATTAATCAATCAATGGGAAACAACTAATGTTTACCACGTTCAGGAGAACAAAAGAAACCGCCCATTGGATTCTGGGTATTATAACTTGGCTGTGAAAAATTACAGTATGTATCATCACTCGGTCAAAGTTACCAATAACAAACATTGGAAAAAAAAAAACAACGTAAGCGACTCAATTTTTACAATCAGTTGTAAGATGATTAAAAAGTTTAGTTATATCGCATCTTTCTAGTGTACCTGAGGTTTAAAAAAAAATGTAATTATGAGTTGTGATGAAAGTTGTGTTCACAAATCTACGGGATTTAAGGATTCAGAACACCCACAATCCAGTTTTGTACCCAATGAGGACCAACCTTCGTGCACCATTTTTCCTTAACAATCCGCTCTTGTTGCTACTCAAAATAACCTGCCTATTGCTCAAGATTGTATTAATAATCATCCTTAGTAATTAGTACTGTGGTTCTAGACCCCTCGGAGTCGTCTGTAAAATACTCCATGCTTTTGTTTGCAGATTTATAAGTCATTTCATCGTCACAAACATCTGATCCTCTTAGCTGAAGTGTCGTCATATTTCAGCATACCATTACAATTTTTTTTTGTTAAAGCTATTTATATCTGAAATGTTTATCTTGATTAGCAAAATAATGCTAAAATTCTGTTTAAAAAATACTTATTACAGAGTAATAGTAAGACGTCTTATTTCAATAACTTACATTACACAATTTCGCACAAGTCCAACACGCTTGTCATGCATTGTGTCGAGATTTCGAGATGACTAATGATAATACGCATTAAGAACTGGGTGGGGACCAAACTAATTGGAGGATTAATTAAAGTTATGCTCTCTCGATGTCACCAAATTAGATATTTTTATAGTGGTCTACTGACTAGCATCCACCGTTGAAATTTGTGTAAAAATAATTCTTAATATGTGTGTTTCCAAACACTGTGCACATTTCAGTTTAAGCTGTTGTCTCCAGCAGAAGATAGCCAACACCTGACTCGACAGACAGTGGTGACGTAGTTGGGGTTGGCGTCTGTCCAACTGTGTGTCACGTTTCTTCAAAACGAGGCGGTTTGTCAGACGTTTCAAAAGTTTATGTTATGTTAATGTTATGTCCCCAGCGTTAACTGATTGACATAATTTACACCAGACTTTACAGTAGACCTATTCTTGTTGATCTAGCGAATTCTTAACACGGGTTTTAGCTACAAGCACGTTTTCAATGTGTTTGAGCACATGTTATTTAACCAAGCTATACATTTGGTGTGTGGTCAAAGATAGGTCATTAGGAAATGTTACTCTACCAGTAGTTTTATTTAGACACCCTCATTTCCGTACTGCCCTCATTTATTGCAAAGGGCAGTCATTAAACGTAAGCATAAGGAAACTGATATATTCTTGCCTGAAACTAGTCAGCAGTTTAACAAAAACGTTTCGTGTTCTAGCTAAGTGGCATGCCATCTTTATTTTTCACAGTGTCACTATTGAATGTCACTACTGTCATATTATATTCAACTCAATGTCACACTGTCACATTAAACACAACTCAGTGTCACACTGAATGACACTGTCACATTACACTTACCACATTGTAACATTATAATCTTTTTTCTAACGTAATGTATCAAATAACTAAGGGAAGTAACACGTTGATTTTTACGAAACATAAGAAATACTGCAAGTTGTCGCTCCTGAGACCAAGTGTCTCAGGAAACATCGCCATGATAATTCTAGTCAACAATAGAAAGAGGCGAGAATATAAGGAAACGATAAGTTGACAGGACAGTTAAACTAAAAGAATTTGTGTGATTAGAAATTTCAAAAATCTACCTCTGGGAAATTCCCGCTCGCTGAAATGATTTTACATAAATTTCCACATAATATACCAATATCTAATTCCTGATACAACTTCCTTCTAATCCCTCACACAACTTCCTTCTAATCCCTCACACAACTTCCTTCTAATCCCACACACAACTTCCCTCTAATCCAACACACAACTACCTTCTAATCCCTCGCACAACTTCCTTCTAATCCCACACAGAACTGCCTTCTAATCCCACACACTACTTCCCACTAAATTCACACACAACTTTTACTAATCCCTCACACAATTTCATTCTAATCTCACACACAACTTCCTTCTAATCCCTCACACAACTTCCTTCTAATCCCTTACACAACTTCCTTCTAATCCCTCACACAACTTCCTTCTAATCCCTCACACAACTTCCTTCTAATCCCTCACACAACTTCCTTCTAATCCCTCACACAACTTCCTTCTAATCCCTCACACAATTTCCCTCTAATCTCTCACACAACTTCCTTCTAATCCCTCACACAACTTCCTTCTAATCCCTCACACAACTTCCTTCTAATCCCACACACAACTTCCCTCTAATCCAACACACAACTACCTTCTAATCCCTCACACAACTTCCTTCTAATCCCACACAGAACTGCCTTCTAATCCCACACACAACTTCCCACTAAACTCACACACAACTTTTACTAATCCCTCACACAATTTCCTTCTAATCTCACACACAACTTCCTTCTAATCTCTCACACAACTTCCCACTAATCTCACACACAACTTCCTTCTAATCCCTCACACAATTTCCTTCTAATCTCACACACAACTTCCTTCTAATCCCTCACACAACTTCCCACTTATCGCTCACACAATTTCCCTCTAATCTCACACACAACTTTTACTAATCCCTCACACAACTTAATTCTATTCCCTCACACAACTTCCTTCTAATCCCTCACACAACTTCCCACTTATCGCTCACACAATTTCCCTCTAATCTCTCACACAACTTCCTTCTAATCCCTCACACAACTTCCTTCTAATCCCTCACACAATTTCCCTCTAATCTCTCACACAACTTCCTTCTAATCCCTCACACAACTTCCTTCTAATCCCTCACACAACTTCCTTCTAATCTCACACACAACTTTTACTAATCCCTCACACAATTTCCTTCTAATCCCTCACACAACTTCCTTCTAATCCCTCACACAACTTCCTTCTAATCCCTCACACAACTTCCTTCTAATCCCTCACACAACTTCCTTCTAATCCCTCACACAACTTCCTTCTAATCCCTCACACAACTTCCTTCTAATCTCACACACAACTTTTACTAATCCCTCACACAATTTCCTTCTAATCTCACACACAACTTCCTTCTAATCCCTCACACAACTTCCCACTTATCGCTCACACAACTTCCCACTTATCGCTCACACAATTTCCTTCTAATCCCTCACACAACTTCCTTCTAATCCCTCACACAACTTCCTTCTAATCCCTCACACAACTTCCTTCTAATCTCTCACACAACTTCCTTCTAATCTCTCACACAACTTCCCACGTGACATATATAAACACTGCTGCCAATTAAAACCGTATTTTAAATAAACAAATCTCAACAGTTTTTTCTAGCTATAAGTATTTGTTAATTAATTATTTCTACGTCAATTATGCACTTTCGTATTTTTAATTCGTATAGATCTATATTGTTTTCATAGTTTTTATATCAAAATGGTAAAAAAAAATTAATAAATTAAAATAAAAACGAATAACAACCAAAGACCGAGAACTGTATTTGCAACACATTTGATTTTAACTCGGTTACTTCCCTTTAAAAAACACCAGAGTGAGATAAACCCAAACAAAAACAAATAGTAAAATTTTAACATGGCCTTGCTGAGCCTATGCATGGTATACTATTATAGATAACATATTCATGCCATTTAAAAATGTTATTCGCGTTCAGTATTAGACAGTTTATTACCATGTTGTCGGATCATACTTTTACTACTACACCATAACACCATGTTTATGTCAGCATGTTTGTGTGTATTTTTTAAACGTATGTTACTATGCGTGTGTGGATTATATGTATTATTGTGTATATGTACTATATACGTTAGAATAGGTCTATGTAGCCCTATGTATTAAGTACGTGCTTGCATATTTTTTTGAATATAGACGGCTAAGTATTTGTAAATAGGTGTCTGTATGTGAAAGTATGTTTTCAATATAAGCCCACTTATATATGTGAATATGTGAATATGTGAATATGTGAATATGTGAATATGTGAATATGTGAATATGTGAATATGTGAATATGTGAATATGTGAATATGTGAATATGTGAATATGTGAATATGTGAATATGTGAATATGTGAATATGTGAATATGTGAATATGTGAATATGTGAATATGTGAATATGTGAATATGTGAATATGTGAATATGTGAATATGTGAATATGTGAATATGTGAATATGTGAATATGTGAATATGTGAATATGTATATAATGTATATATATATATATATATATATATATATATATATATATATATATATATATATATATATATATATATATATTTGTATATAAAGAGAGAAAGGGATTGAGCAAGAGATGCGAATACTTTCGGATACATACACTTGTATTTAGATGTATAAATATGTATGAACGTTGAGATACTTGCACAGACTTGCATCAACTTGCCGCCTTTAACTCTGGCCCACCAGGGCTCCATCGACCAGGTCAGCATTAGGGAACTCGCCCCAGATATCAGCGCGAGAGCTCACCACGAGAACAATACAGGACTCATCAATGTTTGAACTCCCGTTAATAAATGAACGCGGCACACCAAGGGGACAATACCCACGGCGACCCGGCGCGGATGTTTGTGTGTAAACACACTCAGTGTTTTCCCTTTGTTTTGTCCTCTGTCTGTGTTCTATCATGTTGTGTTGAGTTTCAAGCCAAAGGCAAACATCAATTTAAAA